ACCGATGTCGCTTTGTTTGTCCCTATTATTAAATTGTTGAATGTTGAAAATAAGGTTGTAAACAAGCAGAGTCGAGCTCGACTCAAACTCTAAATCATGAACCGAAGCTTGAAAAAGTTTGAAATAAAAAAATATTCTTTAAAGTTAACTCGGTTTAATTTCGAACTCAAACCTAAACATTAAGTATATGAAAACGTTATAGATAATTTATAAAAAATTAATACATAAATTTTAATATTATTAATAATTTAATATTTTTAAAAATAAAATTTTCATATATATATTTTTTTCGAATTGCTAGCGAGGTTTTTGAGCCGAATATCAAATAGCTCGTTTCAACTCGTTAAGAATTCGAGTTGAGTTAAAACTTAAATCGAGTCCATTTAAATCGAATATTTAACAAATTTGATCAAATCAAATTTAAATAGTTCACAATCACAACCTATCTCATATACGTTGAAAAAACGTAGTAGAAAACGAGAGTTCACGTGGACATTAAGTTATGACAAGTTACACGTTTATTTTTTATTTTTAATATTTATTTTATTTAAAAGTAAGTTAATATATAAATATAAATATTTTAACGTTGAATTGTGTCACTAGATTGTTGAATTTTAACATGATGATGACATATACAAATATTTTCGTTACTATAATAATATGGACAAAATAATATCATTTTGGCGATAACTATTGATGCCCAAAATCATATCGTTTTAAGCAATGAACTTTAGGGGTATATTGATTTTGTCACTAAACTTTTAAACAGTTTCATTTTGGCACTGTACATTTTCGATCGTCGTTGACAGCCAATCATCATTCATCATCAATTGTCTTGAACAATAAGATCGATACAAAAAAAATTGTATTTCACTCATATTTCTTCTTTTAAGATTGAGTTTCTATGAAATCCACTTAAAATTAATAAATGCTTAATTCTCCTTTCCACTAAAAGAAATAATTTCTGAAAATTCTCATTTTAGCCCATATACCTTCATTTTTTATAATCTGATTCCGAAATTGCAAAATTGCAAAAAAATAAAAAAAGATGAGGGAGATATTTGTATTGAATTTTCTGCACCGGACCCCATTTTGAAATTTGTGGCAGATAGTAGTTTGTGGTTGCTGCCTGTTTCACGTTTTTGTCTCCAAGCTCTATAACATTGATATAAGTAGACCCTGGTTGAGGGGTAAGGCTCCTCATCCCCACAATGGAGTGGACAAGTCCAGTTCTTGCAATTGCTGCACTTGTCTTCTTATTCTTCCAAGCCTTCACATGGAAAACAAGGGCTAAAAACAAGAGATTACCACCTGGTCCGATAGGGATTCCGATTCTCGGAAACCTTTTGATGATAGGGACCAAACCACACCATGATCTTCATCGATTAGCCCTCAAGTATGGCCCCATCATGCACTTACGCTTCGGATTGATGCCGGTGATCATTGTCTCCTCCCCGGAAGCTGCCGAGCTATTCCTCAAGACACATGACCTTGTTTTTGCTAGCAGGCCACCTCATGAATCTTCCAAGCGTATTAGTTACAATCAAAAGGGAATTGCCTTCTCCCCCTACGGCTCATACTGGCGCAATATGCGCAAGATGTGTACCTTGGAGTTGCTTAGTAACCACAAAATTTCTACATTCAGATCCATGAGGAAGCAAGAACTTGATCTTTTAGTTCAACGTATTCAAGAGGCTGCTTATGCTGGTGTTGCTGTTGATCTCAGTTCCATGGTCGCTTCTTTTAGTACCGATGTCGCTTGTAGAATGATCATCGGAAAGAAATATAACCGTGACGATTTCAGTGAAAAAGGGTTCGAAGCTACAGTCCGAGAGGGTATGCAAGTAGGATCTGCGTTTAATCTAGCTGATTACATCCCTCAAATTAGAGGACTGGATCTTCAAGGGCAAACAAAGCGCATGAAAGCAATTGCCAGGGATTTTGATGACTACTTTGAGAAGATAATTGAAGAACATGTTCAATCTAAAGATGAAAACAGAACCAAGGACTTCGTTGATGTCATGCTGGGATTCATGGGATCTGAAGAAACTGAGTACCGCGTGGAGCGAGACACTATCAAAGCAATCGTCTTGGTACTCTTTTATGTCTCGATATACGTCCCTTTTCGAACTCGTCTTTTGCGCCTTTCAATCTAAAATTTTGCCCTGTTTATTGCGATTCTTGCAGGACATGCTTGCAGGTTCAATGGATACTTCGGCGGCTACGATCGATTGGACAATGGCGGAACTCATCAGACATCCACGGGTGGCAAAGAAACTCCAAATGGAACTCGAAGATGTGGTAGGCGCAAAGAGAATGGTTGAAGAATCGGACCTGGACAAGCTGGAGTACTTGAACATGGTTATGAAAGAAAGCTTCAGGCTACATCCAGTGGGGCCATTGCTGGTCCCGCATGCAGCTAGGGAAGATTGCACGGTGAACGGCTTTCACATACCAAAAGGCTCTCGCATCTTGATAAATGCATGGGCTATAGGTCGGGACCAAAGGGTTTGGACCGACACCGACAAGTTTAAACCGGAAAGATTCATCGGAAGCGACATCGATGTTCGAGGACAAAACTTTGAGCTGATACCATTTGGTTCTGGTCGTAGAGGTTGCCCTGGAATGCAATTGGGTCTCACCATCGTCCGGCTTGTGGTGGCACAATTGGTTCATTGCTTTGATTGGAAACTTCCAAACAATATGCAGACATCTGAGTTGGATATGACGGAGGACTTCGGACTTGCTTGTCCTAGAGCCCAGCATCTTCTAGCTATACCAACATGGCGCCTACATACATGAAAACTCATAAACCCTAAATCATAAAACAATAAATTTGTATAAATTAAAATTTATACAATCTGTGTACCAAATAATTTTCCTTCAAATATATCCAAAACTGAATAAGGCGGTTATCATAATCTACATCTAATGCTTGGCTGAGTTTCGGGGTAAATCACCCTACTACTAATATATTTATGCCATTGGTCAATTGATTTTAATTTCTTTTAATTTGATTTTCTAAACTTTTGTATTTTATTGTTTTAATTCACTCGATCATTAATTTTTAACTTCATTTAAAAATTATGCAAAAACTCCTTTTTTTTGTTTATGAAATTAAGAAAGATAACACAATTTATTTGACAATAAAAAAATTTAGTACGGGATATTTTCAAACAAACAATTTTTTAATGGTATAAGATGATTATAAGACAGTATCTATTTAAGATTTTCTTAATCTATTGACAACACATATATCTTACGTGCGTGATTAATCAAACTCATATCCTCTCAATAGAGTAACATTCGTTTTTTTTTTCAGTATAGTCCCTCAAAGTGTTCTATGCGTCATTCCAAACCCCTTCGTCCCGTCCTATGGCCCATATGTTTATGAATATGTGTGCGTTCTTCGGTATGTGAAAGCCGTTCACCGTGTATGCTTCGCTAGCTGCATGCCGGGCCATCAATGATCCCACCGGGTGAAGCCTTCAGCTTTCTTTTTATAACCATGTCCGAGTACCCCAATTGCTCCAGGTCCGATTCTTCGACCATCCTCTTCATGCCTATCACATCTTCGAGTTCCTGTTGGAGTTTCTTTGTCACCCGTGGTTGTTTCATGAGTTCCGCCAATGTCCAATCGATCGTAGCCGCTGAAGTATCCATTGAACCCACGAGCATGTCCTGCAACAATCATGATAAACAGGTGATTTTTAGATTGAAAGACACGAATTACGAGATCGAAGAGGGACTTAAAAAGATTATTGCTTTGATAGTGTCTCGCTCAACGCTGTACTCATGAGTTTCTTCAGATCCCATGAATCCCAACATGACATCAACGAAGTCGTTGACCCTGTTTTCATCTTGAGATCGAACATGTTCTTCAATTATCTTCTCTAAGAACTCATCAAAATCCTTGGCAATAATATTCATGCGCTTTGTTATCCCTTGAAGATCAAGTCCCCCAATTTGAGGGATGTAATCAGCTAGATTAAACACAGCTGATAGCCGCATGCCCTCTTGGATCGTAGCTTCGAACCCCTTTTCACCGAAATCGTCATATTTCTTTCTGAAGACCATTCTACAAGAAACATCAGTACTAAAAGATGTGACTTCAGAACTGAGATCAACAGGAACACTACCACCACCAGCCTCTCGAATCCGATGAACCAAGAGATAGAGTTCTTGTTTCCTCATGGACCTGAAAGAACTAATTTTGTGGTTACCAAGTAACTCTAAGGTGCACATCTTGCGCATGTTGCGCCAGTACGAGCTGTATGGTGAGAAGAACAAGTTCTGCTGATTGTGAATGATATGCTTGGAAGCCTCATTATGCGGCCTGCTAGCGAAAACAAGGTCAAGTGTCTTGAGGAATGGCTCGGCTGCTTCGGGGGACGAGATGATGATTACCGGCATCAATCCAAAGCGTAAGTGCATAATGGGGCCATACTTCCGGGCTAACCGTAGAAAAATCTTGGTGCGGTTTGCTCCCCATCATCAAAAGGTTTCCGAGAATCGGAAGCCCTCTCGGACCAGGAGGTAATCTCTTATGTTAGCCCTTCTTTTCCATGTCCATAATTGAAAGAAGAAGATAAGTGCAGCAACTGCAAGAGTTGTACATCAATTTTAAATTACTCAAATTTAGGAGTTGAAATTTCGTTTGAAAGACAAATTTTATTAAGTTTATCAAGATCTATTGTGTACCAAAACAATCTGAGCGCTGAATTTTATAATTTTAATACGCACTTCATTGAAAAAGTTTTTAAAATCTCTGGGGGTTTTACGCAAATAAAATCTGATGGAGTTGGACTTTGCAATTTGTCTTCATCCATGGATTCTTCTTCTCATTCTGTAAGTTGATTCATACCCTAAAGAAATGACTTTGCCATGTGAACTCCCCATTGTAGAAGAAGCTAATTAGAGTCAGTGAATTTGTACACTCTATTTGTGGTGCATTATTGAAGAACTGATTCGGAAAGAACTCTTGAATACAGTGAGTGTTGTCTCAGTGGTGAAGACGATCGAAACAAGTACAATTCAAGAACTAAATGAGTTAAATTAGAAAGGCGTTAACTTTAGTAGTCGTTCAATAGGTCGGATAGCAGTGGTTAAACCGAAGAAAGGCGTTAACTTTTCATGTATGTAGACGCCATGTTGGTATAGCTAGAAGATGCTGGGCTCTAGGACAAACAAGTCCGAAGTCCTCTGTCATATCCAACTCAGTTGTCTGCATATTGTTCGGAAGTTTCCAATCAAAGCAATGAACCAATTGTGCCACCACAAGCCGGACGATGGTGAGACCCAATTGCATTCCAGGGCAACCTCTACGACCAGAACCAAATGGTATCAGCTCAAAGTTTTGTCCTCGAACATCGATGTCGCTTCCGATGAATCTTTCCGGTTTAAACTTGTCGGTGTCGGTCCAAACCCTTTGGTCCCGACCTATAGCCCATGCATTTATCAAGATGCGAGCGCCTTTTGGTATGTGAAAGCCGTTCACCGTGCAATCTTCCCTAGCTGCATGCGGGACCAGCAATGGCGCTATTGGATGTAGCCTGAAGCTTTCTTTCATAACTATGTTCAAATACTCCAGCTTTTCCAGGTCCGATTCATCAACCGTCCTCTTCATGCCTACAACATCTTCGAATTCCTGTTGGAGCTTCTTTGTCACATGTGGATGTCTGATGAGTTCCGTCATTGTCCAATCGATCGTAGCCCCCGAAGTATCCATTGAAGCTGCAAGCATGTCCTGCAAGAATCGCAATAAGCAGAGCAAAATTTTAGATCGAAAGGCGCAAAAGACGAGTTCGAAAAGGGACGTATATCGAGACATAAAAGAGTACCAAGATGATTGCTTTGATAGTGTCTCGTTCCACGCGGTACTCAGTTTCTTCAGATCCCATGAATCCCAGCATGACATCAACGAAGTCCTTGGTTCTGTTTTCCTCTTTAGATTGAACATGTTCTTCAACTATCTTCTCAAAGAAGTCGTCGAAATCCTTGGCAATTGCTTTCATGCGCTTTGTTTGCCCTTGAAGATCCAGTCCTCTAATTTGAGGGATGTAATCCGCTAGATTAAACGCAGATCCTACTTGCATACCTTCTCGGAGTGTAGCTTCGAACCCTTTTTCACTGAAATCGTCACGATTATATTTCTTTCCAATGATCATTCTACAAGCGATATCGGTACTTAAAGAAGTGATCATGGAACTGAGATCAACAGCAACACCAGCATAAGCAGCCTCTCGAATACGATGAACTAAAAGATCAAGTTCTTGCTTCCTCATGGACCTGAATGCACTAATTTTTTGGTTACTAAGTAACTCCAAGGTGCACATCTTGCGCATATTGCGCCAGTACGAGCCGTATGGGGAGAACACCACTCCCTTTTGATTGTAACTAATACGCTTGGAAGCCTCATGAGGTGGCCTGCTAGCGAAAACAAGATCGTGTGTCTTGAGGAAAAGCTCGGCAGCTTCCGGGGACGAGACGACGATTACCGGCATCAAACCGAAGTGTAAGTGCATGATTGGGCCATACTTTCGGGCTAATCGTTGAAGATCATGGTGCGGTTTGGTCCCAATCATCAAAAGGTTTCCGAGAATCGGAAGGCCTCTCGGACCAGGAGGTAATCTCTTGTTCTTAGCCCTTATTTTCCATGTGAAGGCTTGGAAGAAGAAGATAAGTGCAGCAATTGCAAGAACCGGACTTGTCCACTCCATTGTGGGGATGAGGAGCCTTACCTCTCAACCAGGGTCTACCTATATCAATGTTATAGAGCTTGGAGACAAAAACGTGAAACAGGCGGCAACCACAAACTACTTTCTTTTCAATTCGGGACCCTTCCTCTGGTCCTTTTTTTAATCATTTTTGTTGCTATCTGCTAGGCTGCTAAGAAACTGATGTTTTGTACAGTATTTTTTTCCATCGATATCTGTGTCGTATTAGATATTTTGAGTAAACTATTATAATGATTATCATCCGCTACAAATGGTGATAATGCTCAAGTCATCTTCTTCCTCAAAAATATTTAAAATTATTCATCTAAATTGACATCGTCAACATTCTTTGCTTATACCAATTCATCAAACTAAACATGAGTTATCGCTAACTACACTTCATTGTTCTTCCCAGTATCATGTTTTCTCTGCCTCAATGATTTAATCGGAAAATTAGCTTACCCTTATTCCCTCATGTATTTAGGCGCCATGCTGGTATAGCTTGAAGATGCTGGGCTCTAGGACAAACAATTCCGAAGTCCTCGGTCATGTCCAACTCGGTTGCCTGCTTCTCTTTCGGAAGTTTCCAATCAAAGCAATGAACCAATTGCGCCACCACGAGCCGAACAATGATCAGACCCAATTGCATTCCAGGGCAGCTTCTACGACCGGAACCAAATGGGATCAGCTCGAAGTTTTGTCCTCGAACATCAATGTTGCTTCCGATGAATCTTTCCGGATTAAACTTGTCGGTGTCGGTCCAAACCCTTTGGTCCCGACCTATGGCCCATGCGTTTATAAAGATGCGTGCGTCTTTCGGTATGTGAAAGCCGTTCACCGTGCAATCTTCCCTAGATGCGTGGACAATCAATGGCGCTACCGGATGAAGCCTGAAGCTTTCTTTCATAACCATGTCCAAGTACTCCAATTTCTCCAGGTCTGACTCTTCGACCGTCCGATTCATGCCTACCACATCATTGAGTTCCTGTTGGAGTTTCTTTGTCACATGTGGATGTCTGATGAGTTCCACCATTGTCCAATCGATCGCAGCCGCCGATGTATCCATTGAAGCTGCAAGCATGTCCTGTAAGAATCGAAATAAACAGGGTAAAATTTTAGATCGAAAGGCGCAAAAGACGAGTTTGAAAAGGGACATATATCGAGACATAAAAGTGTACCAAGATGATTGCTTTGATAGTGTCTCGTTCCACGCGGTACTCGGTTTCTTCAGATCCCATGAATCCCAGCATGACATCTATGAAGTCCTTGGTTCTGTTTTCATCTTTAGATTGAACATGCTCTTCAAATATCTTCTCAAAGAAGTCATCAAAATCCTTGGCAATAGCTTTCATGCGCTTTGTTTTCCCTTGAAGATCGAGTCCTCTAATTTGAGGGATGTAATCCGCTAAATTAAACGCAGATGCTATTTGCATAGTCTCTCGGACAGTAGCATCAAACCCTTTTTCACTGAAATCATCACGATTATATTTCTTCCCGATGATCATTCTACAAGCGACATCGGTACTAAAAGACGTGACTTCAGAGCTGAGGTCAACAGCAACACCAGCAGCAGCAGCCTCTCGAATTCGATGAACTAAGAGATCGGCTTCTTGCTTCCTCATGGATCTGAATGTAGTAATTTTGTGGTTACTAAGTAACTATAAGGTGCACATCTTGCGCATGTTGCGCCAGTATGAACCGTATGGAGCGAAGACCAAGTTCTGTTGATTGTAACTAATATACTTGGACGCTTCTTGAGGTGGCCTGCTAGCGAAAACAAGGTCATGCGTCTTGAGGAATAGCTCGGCGGCTTCCGGGGATGAGACGACGATCACGGGCATCAAGCCGAGGCGTAAGTGCATGATGGGGCCATACTTGTGGGCTAATCGTTGAAGATCTTGGTGTGGCTTGGTCCCTATCATCAAAAGGTTTCCGAGAATCGGAAGCCCTATCGGACCAGGTGGTAATCTCTTACTTTTAGCCCTTGTTTTCCATGTCAAGGCTTGGAAGAAGAAGATAAGTGCACCAATTGCAAGAATTGTACTTGTCCACTCCATATGGTTAAAGCTTGAAGACAGAAACGCAAAACAAGTAACAAAAACAAACTAATATCTGTCTAGTGAAGTGATAAGGCGCACAATTTCCATTGATGCTAAAAGCTGCAGAGAAGGGTCAATAAATTTTGTAAACTGTCTAATGTCAAAATTGTAAATTATCAAAATATAAAATATTGGATTTAGATTTGATTTCTTTATCAAAATATAAAATTAATTTAATTTGATATCAATTTGGAATTTAAAATCTTATTTGATAGTGACAATTTACCTAATCTCCTTGTCCTTTTCCCAAGTTTGACATGATAACACTCAATGTTGTTGTCATGAGAAAATATAAAATTATCCCTGATATATAAAATAGACCAATTAGTTTTATTAAAAAATAAAATATTTAAAATTATAATAAAGTTTGTAAATTAAACACGTAATAAGAATATTTTTATAACTACTAACACAATAAATTAGCTACTCGAATCATATCATGACCATACAAGAAAATATTAAATTTATAACAAAACAAAAAAAACGAACAAAAGACAGATATGAACAAATTTAATTTCATCGATAAACGAACCACAAAAAAATTAAACTACTAAAATATCATCAATAATCACAAATCAAAATCGAACGTCGTGAAAAAAATATTTACGAACACAAATTGATTAGCTAAGTCCAATTCAAGGGTCTAAAGCAGGGAATATCAATATAATAACAAAATTGTGCTATCTTGGTCAGTCGATGCGATGTCAAATCCAAACCTAAAAAAATTAAACAAAAACAATGATTAAACGTTCGAAAACCTACCATAAAAACAGAAAAAAAACATATTATAAAATTAAAATTATTAGAAACTAAAAAAAAAATATAATATAAGAAAGTAAATGATAACTCAAAATTCAGGTGGTTAGTAATCAACATCAAGTCTAATGGTGCCATATAGGGATGGGCATGAGACCGACATGAAAAAAATATAATTTTTTCATATATTTAAGAATAATTATAATAATACTTCTCTATATATTATTTTTTAATTAAATCACTATTTTTATTGAATAAAAATAATATTTTTATTATTTTAGGTTTAGTCAGATCGAGTTCAAATTTTATCTCAAAAAATTGGGTCAAGTTCGTATCCGGTCGGATAAAAATATAAAATTTTCGTATCGGGTCAGATTGGTTGAAACCCGACCCAAACCCAACCCAACCCATGCCCATCTCTAATGCCATCTGTCGAAAGAAGAAAAAAAAAACAGAAAGGACCGACTTTAAAGTTTAGAAAGAAAAGGAAAAAATGTCCCAAAATTAACCTATTCATACATATAGTTCAATTACTTAATTAGGTGTAAAAGATATGGGTTTAATTAAATTTTTTATACTAGTTCGAAAGTGTTTTGTAGACCTAAATTGTTAATAATAGTGTCTTGAAATTTATTGCATGAACATAATATTTTGATTATAGGTAAATTATATATTTTTTGACACTCATATTACTTAACTATATTTATTTAACATGTTAATGTTAGTTTATATGTAGTATTATATCTTTACAGATGATATACGAACTAACGAGTCATTATTTAACCTCTCTCGAGTATGATCGAGAGTTGGAATGTGACCTCTATAAAATCACTATACCTTAACTCTTCTATGCTCTACTTCCTCTTATAGACAAAGTGCTTCAATATCGACTAATGATTGATCTATCATCGATCGACTGTGACTTTTCGTCTAAATTAGAAGGGATGAACCGTCAATAAACACCATAATCTATTTGATTCCATTAACAAAAAGAAAATTAAAATAAATTAAAATGTAATTTATCCTTTTTTATTAAAGTAAAATTCATATTTTAAATTCGAATTCTCAATTTTCAGCAAATTTCTTGGTACTGCAATGTGAATCTATGTTGGAGAGATCGTCATCAGTGTTGCAACTCATCTCCTTCATGTGGAGTGATATTTCATAAAAAGAGTGCCGGTTGCTCATGTATTTAGGCGCCATGTTGGTGTAGCTACAAGATGTTTGGCTCTAGGACAAACTAGTCCAAACTCCTTACATATCCAACTCAGTCGCCAACATATTATCCGGAAGCTCCCAATCAAAGCAATGAACCAATTGAGTCACCACGAGCCGAACCACGGTGAGTGCCAATTGCATTCCGGGGCATCCTCTGCGACCGGAACCGAATGGTATCAGCTCAAAGTTCTGTCCTCGGACATCGATGTCACTTCCTTCGAATCTCTCCGGATAGAACTTTTCAGCATCGGTCCAAACCCTTTCGTCCCGTCCTATGGCCCATGCGTTTACGAATATGCGAGCGTTCTTCGGTATGTGAAAGCCGTTCACCGTGCAATCTTCCCTAGCTGCATGCGGGATCAACAATGGTGCTACTGGATGAAGCCTGAAGCTTTCTTTCATAACCATGTCCAAGTACTCCAATTTCTCCAGGTCCGATTCTTCGACCGTCCTCTTCGTGCCAACCACATCTTTGAGTTCCTGTTGGAGTTTCTTTGTCACCCGTGGATGTCGGATGAGTTCCGCCAATGTCCAATCGATCGTAACCGCTGAAGTATCCATTGAAGCTACAAGCATGTCCTGCAAGAACCATGATAAACAGGCAAATATTTGACCGAAAGACAGGAAAGACGAGTTCGAAAAGGAACGTAGATTGAGACATAGAAGAGTACCAAGATGATTGCTTTGATAGTGTCTCGTTCAACGCGGTACTCACGAGTTTCTTCAGATCCCATGAATCCCAACATGATATCAACGAAGTCCTTGACCCTGTTTTCATCTTGAGATTGAACATGTTCTTCAATTATCTTCTCAAAGAAGTCATCAAAATCCTTGGCAATAATCTTCATGCGCTTTGTTAGCCCTTGAAGATCAAGTCCTCTAATTTGAGGGATGTAATCAGCTAGATTAAACGAAGCTGCTATCTGCATTCCCTCTCGGATCGTAGCGTCAAACCCTTTTTCACTGAAATCGTCGCGATTATATTTCTTTCCGATGATCATTCTACAAGCAACATCGGTACTGAAAGATGTGACTTCGGAACTGAGATCAACAGCAACACCAGCAGCAGCAGCCTCTCGAATCCGATGAACCAAGAGATCAAGTTCTTGTTTCCTCGTGGACCTGAAAGAACTAATCTTGTGGTTACTAAGTAACTCTAAGGTGCACATCTTGCGCACGTTGCGCCAGTACGAGCCGTATGGTGAGAACACTATGTTCTGTTGATTGTAACTGATATGCTTGGAAGCCTCATGAGGCGGCCTGCTAGCGAAAACAAGGTCATGTGTCTTGAGGAATAGCTCGGCTGCTTCGGGGGACGAGACCACGATCACGGGCATCAAGCCGAAGCGTAAGTGCATGATGGGGCCATACTTGAGGGCTAATTGTCGAAGATCTTGGTGCGGTTTGCCGCCTATCGTCAAAAGGTTTCCGAGAATCGGAAGCCCTCTGGGACCAGGTGGTAATCTCTTAATATTAGCCCTTGTTTTCCATGTCAAGGCGTGAAAGAAGAAGATAAGTGCAGCAACTGCAAGAGCTGTACCAGTCCAATCCATGGTGGGAATTGAAGGGTTTTTCCAATTGGTAAAGCAGCGCTGAGTGAAGCCTTGCATCGCAACCATGGCGTACTTATATTCGTGATTTAGAGGTTGAAGACAGAAGCGTAAAACAAGCAGCAACAACAAATCAATGCCTGCTAGGTGGGAGTGACAAAAAGGAATTTCATGTTTGATGAGTAAAGTTTCAAGTTGGAATCTTATAAATAAAATAATAATATTAAGAATTGGTTTCTTAAATAAAATTTGATTTAGATAACAAAATATCTTAAAAAAATAATTTAATATTTATTTACCATTTTTCAATCTAATATTTATCTCAATTAACCATCCATTGTACAGTCATTCAAGCATAACCCAAGCAAATAATAATTTAGATTAAATGGCTGTAAATCACGATCAATATTTGTTAATTACACACACGCTCCTAAATTATAATTTTTATTTTGAATTGGTCTCCAACTTCTGAATGTTTCAATTCCACCTTCAAATTATGACTTTCATTCTAAATTAATCTCGATTCTTTTAAATCTGTATATCCGATTTTAAATATACATCAATTCCAAATATGGATTAAATTATTAAAAATGAAAAATGGAGAGTTGGAAAGAAATATTCCTCGATTTGGATGGGGGAAACAAGCAAATCCTTTCTTTTAATATGTTAAAAAATACAGTTATTCCCTTAGAAAAATATGAAGTAACAGCAACGATTTCGAAAGAAGAAACATTAAGGGTAGCTTTCCTAGAATTTGAGTTATTGCAGCTTTGATTTCCATGACAGAGACCTTAAAAGCTTCCAATCTTTGTTCACAGTGTCACACTCGGGAAATTGCAGCGTCCACGACCTGCTAAAGTTCAAAAAATTCGGGTTAGGATAGGATCGAAATATTTATTTTAGAGTTTGAATGAGTCGGAACGTAACGGGTTTAAGTGTATATGTAAGTAAAAATCAGATTGGATATATTCTCTCTGTCTCGTCCCATTGTCATCCCTAATCTGAATTAATCGGGAACTTACTCGGATCCACAGTTGTTTCTCTAGCTAACCCATTGAAGCTGCAAATTGCCCCCTGGCTTCGGTACTTTGACCAATATGAACTAAAAGCATAGTTTGCATGCCAAACCACTGATACTGGCTCGTAACACTCTCCCCCAGGGGCCAATGCCGCACAAGTTTGATTATCAATGCCGCAAACATTGGACACTGCTGATGGCAAGCTCACTTCGTTGACCCACGGTGCCACTTCGCACCAAACTTTCCCTTTATATGGCTCGTTGTTTTCGGCGGGTGGCAGCGGCTTGTAGTCAGACATATTACGGCTCCCGGTGAGATCGATTTCGTAAACCGGTGTTCCATTGGCATGTAGCAAGCCCCAATGCCTCTCTGTTCCTGGACCTATCTTGTGGTTTTCATCATATAGGGAGGAAATGAATGTTGGTATGACCACACCGGGACTTTTAGGGGTCCCCGGTAGCGGGTTCAATGTCATTTTTCGGATGAGGTTTCGGTTATAAGTGGCTGCGTTGTAGATGTTTGCACCGATTTGATCGATATCTCCCGCAGAAGGCCAGCCGGTTCCGGATATTGCTAATCGGATATTGCGGAATCCGATCTTTTCAATGGCGAATGTGACTGAGTCAAGCATTTGGTCTAGGAGATCTGTGTAAACTAGGCCACTTCCGGGGTCGGTTTGCGTTATGTTTCCTCTTAAAAGAGCGAAGTCTATGCTAATGTTTTTCGGATTAGCAGACCATGCGAAATAAGGGTAAACATCGAGGAAAAGAACCGATTTGGTCCGGTTCAAGAATTTCAACATCCTCGGCATCACGGTACCCGAAATACCGGACCGAAACGTACCATTAGAAGGCGGGAAAGTCGTCTGCAGCACATCCATTGATAGCGTCGTAGTGACCTTGACGTTCCTAATATCGTGATTATTCAAGGATTTCTTAATCCCACGCATTGCAGGCAGAAGGGAATCATACAACGCGATCCGATCACTGTCTATGTCGGAATTGAGGACTCCGTTGCCGACCAACACGAACCGAATCAGGGTATTCGGATAGAAAGGTATGAAACTGTTCCTGACCCATTGTTCTGCATACGTTTCATTCGAACCGATCCGGATCATCTCTTCATTAGGAACCGTAACGGCAACATGGATCTTGGTTCCCGACAAGAGTGTCAATATTTCGGGGTTCGAATCATTGAGCTTTACCTGGCCAACTTTCATGGATTTCATGATCTGAATCGATTTGTACGGCGACGGCAAATCGTCCCCTTCTCTACCATAGTTTATCCCAATCTTGCCGGTCATATCTGCCACTGTTGAAGCACAAAAGAAAGCAATTGAACTAACACATACATAATACATACATATACTTACATACACACACGCATACATATACATACATACATTATGTATGGGATTAAGGAACTTACAAGAAGCAACAAGGAGAGAGGAGAAGAGGAGAGGAAGAAGAGCCATGTTTTTGAATTGTATAATGTAATGATTTTGCCCCCCAAAAGTGCTGAGATTTTAAAGAGAAGAAAGGCCCCAAGATCATGGATTAATTAAGTAGAAAGTAGCATACATTGCTCAAAGACAAGAGGGGCAAGTGCCCCCAAGAAGGGTAGTTAACCCTTGCTTGGCCAATTCAACATGATTTAACGGTATTAAAGCCACACAAAAGAAATAGTTAAATTATAACATAAAATAACACATTATTATATGAATATAATACAAATGATTAATGTGTTCAAATGTATATAAATTTACGATATCTTAAAATACAGTGATCTATGTAATCTTCAAATTAGATTCTATTAAATGTATGATTTTTATTTTTAAAAGTCTCGACAACATGTCGTTATGTTCTTCTAATTTGATGAGAAACTATCAATAATTATAAAATGCGTTATTTAATGTAGTAAAAAAAACTTGAAAATGCTTATATCAATCACATATAATTAAATAAAAAATTTATATCTAAATCTAGGGATGGGCATGGGTCGGGTTTTGGCCAACCTGACCCGACCCGAAAAATATATACCCTCCACCCGATCTAAACCCGACTCGACTTTTTGAGATAAAATCCGAACCCGACCCTACCCGAAATAATAAAAATATTATTTTTATTTAATAAACAGTGATTTAATTGAAAAAAATAGTATATAGAAGGGTATTATTATAATTATTCCTAAATATATAAGGTAAAATTATATTTTTTTGGGTCAAGTCGGGTATTTTTCACCCTAAACCAGAACTCGACCCGACCCGAACATCACATTTAAAAAACCCAACCTGAACCCGATTTTTTTTTAAAAAACCCCGACCCAATCGGATTCGGTCCAATGACCATCCCTAAATCCAAATGACTGATCAAATATTACAAGCAAAATGTTAAAATATTACAATTTTCTTCTACTGCAAAACAAAACAATGGGTTAGCTAATTTTGAAGAATTTAGTAAGGAAAAAAAAAACAATAGCTCTATTGGCTTAGGTTTAGCACAACAAAGACACCAAATTGAATCAATAATGTTTGCTATCAACTTAAGTTCACAAACATGGCGTTTTTCCATTTCATTACTGTGGTTTCATTTTCAACAGTCTCATACCTCTTTGATTTTCCATCACCGGGTATCATCCGAGCTCCACGTAGGTTTCGGTTCCGAGGTGCTTGTCTGTGTCGCTTAGAGCGACGAATCGCCGAACGTCGACCAAGTCCCTTCGGTCGTTTGCCATCTTTGTAGAGCTTCAGAAAGGCTCAAGTCGAGGTCGATGCCCGTTGTTTCGTCTTCCTCTCGACTCATCGGTTTCCATTGCTGAACCAGAGGGTTTAGCACGTTGACCGCATGCCCCATGTCGGGTCTCTGAGACGGCTCGCGAGTTGTGCAGTGACCGGCTAGCTCGGCAACCTTCAAGATGCTCGACATCGTAAGAACACTCCAAATGCATACACATCCACCTTTGTTGTCACCCTTCCGGTTGATATACTAAAAATAGGATCAAATATGTGATTTTGATTTTATATAGGTATTAAATATAACTTTCGAAAAAGTATTAAATGTAATTAGTTTAAGAATAAATATTTGATCTGAAGGTATAATTTCTAATATCTACAATATTATATTTAAATAAATTAGTATCACGAATTAATTTAAAATATAACAATTTGCTATCATTCAATTATTTTTAAGATAAAATTTAATAATTTAGTATCACTTAATTATAATTTTTTTTAATTCAATGAATAGATTTTATTATAAATTTTTAAAGAGCTTTATACTTACAGTAACTTTATGAAAAAGAAATAAGATCCAACTCTATAATGTAAAATTATTTAATCATTTCATTGATTTAAAATTAGTAAATTAAATAAAATTAATAATTGAATTACATAATTGAAAATGAGAAAACTTTTACAAATAAAATAAATAAATATTTGAAATACGATCTTATTTGAGTAAGGTGGGTGAATTAGTACTAGTACGTTACAGATAAGAAGAAAAAAACAAAGTCATAATAACAAAAATAGCTCCTAATGTTTACTAAAATATCATTTTGGTCCCTATTTAAAAATATGCTGGCCCCTAACATTTCAATTTGGGGAAAAAAACTCCTTCTATAAATGAAAATAATTAATTAACACACTATTAATGTTCTAAAATAGAAGTCTTTTTAATTTAAAATGAAACATTAAGGGTTAAAATGTCCTAAAAAATAATAAATAATAAAATAATTATTATATCAAATGTTAGAAGTCTTTTAACTTAATATAAAATGTTAATATTATAATATTTCAAAAAATAAAATAAAGAAAAAGTTACTATTTTAATAATTGAAGGCTAATTTTGGTACTATATTAATAAGCATTGAAGGCTTGCTGATAACAAGCGCATATGGGGTACCAGTTAACGAATTTATCACCATAAATTGTTAAAGGTGACCATCACTTTCCGTACAACCCTTCTACCGAGTTCATATTGAGTTTTTTTTTTTTTTTTTGATAATTTAATTTTATTACCCAACCAATCAAGATCTGCTATAAAAATAATCGATCATAAAAATCATATGTACACCATACTTAAAAGACAAAAGATCGGTTAATCAATACACCAAAAATTACATAGAGAAATATTGATACTATCAGACATATTAATATTAACCCCCCTCAGTTTGGTAGAAACATAATCTTTGATACAAGCAAAAAGGTCGTCAGCAGTCCTTGTACATCCTCGAAAAATTCGTCTATTACGTTCACCAAGCAATCTTTAAAATGGTTGAAAGAAGAGATTTGTCTTTCCAATTATTGCTTGCCCATGTGATCATGTCTTCCCAGGTTGAAAGTGATTTCTAACTCATTATGAAGCAGTATTGAGTCCCATAAATTAGCAGCCAGTGGACAATCAAATAATAGGTGAGACCGAGTTTCCATCATTCCGTTGCAAAGCACACAATTCTCCAAAGTGGTAATCTCCATCCGCAAAAGTCGATCCCGGGTCGGGAGTCGATCAAGAATAGCCATCCATGCTATAATACTATGTTTCGGAATATGATAAGGGTACCAAATCAAAGGATGCCATTTTACTTTGTCTCCATTTAATCTAATTTTCAGCCAAATATGTTTGATGGTGATAGTATGATTCGTGATAATAGGGTAAGCTTCGGGCTGAAGCTTTAGAATCCTATTGAAGCTCCCGCTGAAATTGGGACTTCCTTCGATGTGCCAGAAATCTTTCTCCTATTGAGTCATATCGAGTTCTTGTTCCTAGAAAACCTGCAACTTTTTCTTTCACTCTGCCTTTATTTTTATTTTCTTTTTTAGTAATTTTAAGGGTGGTTAATGTAATAGCCTTGACTTTTGCAGGTCATGAGAGCCATGGAGTTCATTTATGTCACAAATGTGGGTGGCCATTTCCAAACCCAAATCCAAGTGCAAAACATAGGCGTTCTCACAAGATCTGTGGAACCATTGAAGGTTACGAGCTATTTATTTCAGCTGAGGAACAACTTTCAGAAGCCTGTAAAGTTCCACTCTTTGCAATAAATATAGTCTCTTTCAAAGTGAAAAGTTTTAATTTTGACACGTGTAAATGGCTGGTTAGGCTGAATTAATGAACAAAAAGTGTCGACATTGATGAATCTAGTTGCTCAAGTTTTTTATTTTGATACACATCTGAATCTGTTATCCCTCATCATCAATCCGGAGTCGTCAAAAAGGAAGGTAGTAGCGAATATATGAGAGCCTTACCCGAGACCGAAGATCCACACTCGAATAGAGTTCGGAACAGTCCAGGTGAAATAAAGGAATCCAAAATAAGCAGGGATAGCAAGGAACAAGGAGAGTGTGCGGACGAGGTTATGTCTTCTGTGGTAGAGAACAGCGGAGGAAATGAGTTTGATGAATCTTCTCTGGACCAGTTGAACAAGGAGTCGATACATCCAGATCCCGAGTCTACCACTCAAAATTCTGATGCTGTTGATGTTAGTCGTACTCGAGTGTAACGCCCCAGTATTCGACCTGGATACGAGTTCGATATGTCGCATTGACTTTTTAAAATAATATTCTTAACAAAATACAGATCATTTGAACTTATATTAAGAAAATATGATAATATATCGTTGAATTATGTTCGTTATAACCAATTTAAGAAAATATATGTTTTATGAATAGTACTATACGATATAAACAGTATCATGAACAGTACCGAATGTTAACTTTTTTCCATATTACTGTAGGGGTATCGATACCCTGCTACAGTGTACTGATACCTTGCTACAGTATTTTTCGACAAAAATATAAAACTCAAAAATTTAAACCGTTCATCACTATACAGTTATCATTGACATAAATACGTTTAAAACATTCCAAAACGTGAACAGAGCACACATACTTAATTTAAAGACTTTGTTTACATGTCAACCTATTTATCACATAATAATACATACTTTTTAATTTACTTCTGATCTTATCTTCAAGTGGAGATATGTTGTTTTGTTGAGCTTATAATGGATCTTTTTACTTTTCGGTACCTATGTGTAAAACTCTTACACGCTAAGTTATAGACTTAGTGAGGCATAATAATAATGACAATAAAATATAATGAAAATGTCATAATAAAATGCAATATCATGAAATCATATATTCAATTCATGCAAGTCATGTAACCATGTATCTTACCTGTAATCTTATCACCTGTAATCTTATCAAATTAATCATCATGAATTCATATAATAAGTTCACTGGCCCATGATATAATACTGAGAACCTGAGGTATGTGAGTTGTGCACTATGATATCACCATAGCTCGTATAAATTTGCACCGAAGTGCCACGTAGAATTTGTCCTGAAAGACCGCGTAGAAATGCACCGTAGTGCCATATAAGATTTGTCCATAAGGACCATAAAGAAATTCCTTAAGAATCATATACATATACCAAGGATCACGTAGGTATCTAAAAAGACCTCATACATGTTCCAAAGAATACATATATGTCCCGAAGAACCACGTAGAATTATCCCGAAGGACCGCGTAGACCCTCTACTATTGGCATGCCAACTATACCTATAGTTCTCATCTACATAACATGGGCTTTTATAATTCATATAGTGTATCTCATAGACATATCATTTACATACCTTTATCACGTAGTTCATATAATTTTTCCTGCATATTCATGTCACATAATGCATATGGTATGAACTCATATCATGTTTCATATTCATAATATGAAATGAATCATATATCAAAGTATTAAATCTAGACTTATCACAAGTCTAGAACTGAATATATTTCTATAATCATGCTATGCATATGCACTCACCTATATTTCATTGCCTTTCCTTCGATCAATCTTACTTGTCAATTGTTACGGAACTCGTTTAGGCTCTATATCTACAGAAATATAATTTTCAAGATGATTATCAGAAGCCTAAACTTTATACTTCGATGCTATTAACTTAAACAAATTTAATGAATAAATATTAAATTTTTCTTATAGGGGTATCGATACACCCCTTGAGGTATCAGTATTCTTACTGCATTTTGTTATTTTTCGTTCAAGAGGGTATCGGTACACATACATAGGGTGTCGATACACTATGCTCAAAACATGTTTTTTCACCCGAAAATTCATCAACTCTTCACTGAATTTCCTCATATAAAACTCCTTTCATAACATTAAACTCATCTACAACCATTTTAACTAACTTCTATCATTTCAACACTCTATGATCTCCCATATTTCATCCAAATTCTTAAAGTTAAGAATCATACCCAATTTTTCATGTTATTCAAACTTACTCCTAACACTTATAACTTTTTATTCACACCTATGACAAGTCAAATTCAACTTCTAAATTCATTTATACATCCTTATTCAAAATTTCACTTATTCACTTATTATCTTTAATCCTCTATAACTCAAAACTCTTTGAGTTTTTAAGTCCCTTTTTCCTTCCATCATGTTTCCTAAAACTTCATGAATCAAACCCATACTTGAATTTGAAGGATTAACCAAAAGAAATCAAACTCACCTTATCTTAGCTTTGGCCTCACGTTGGGGAAGAGAAGAAGATGAATATGGGAGAAATGTTGGAAACTTGATTTCCCAAACATATGCTCCACATGAGTATTATAATACCTACTAATTATTATTTAATTATTTAATTATTATCCTTTATTCAATGACCATTTTATCCATTTTACTCTTCATTTATAATTTATCCTACACCAACATATTTCAATTAATTCCTTCACTTTTCAATTTATCTAATCTGATCATTGAATTTTTAAAATTTCACACTTTGGTCACTAACCCGATATTGAAGATGTTACATGGAGAGTCCGGAGTTTGCAACCCCCCCCACCCGATAATTGCTCTATTAAACCTCAACTTGGTGCGGCCATTGGTGATGTTTCGAAATCAAGTAGTCAAACTGATAGCTTGGATGGTCAGTGGGGATCCGTTTCAGGTAGGGTAGATTCTTAAACTAATCATTTATGGACTTGTACGATGTTTAGAACTGGTTCGATCTGATGATACCGATGGCAGACACACACTCGTATTCACACCTGAATCCGAGTAACATAGGCTGATACTCATTGCATTTTCCCAAGTCCGTTCATAAATGCTTTATTTTGTTGCATAGAATAAAGGTGGCGGAATTGTGTTCCGATAACTAAGTCTATTTCTTTTGTTTTTGTGCACGGAACAGTTCTTTCAACCCGATCAGACAACCCACCGATAACCGACACCGAAAATTTACCATCAACCGACTCACACCTGTCATCTGAACCGGAGAAAGCCAACGTAAAGAAACCAACAGTTGCATCAGGAGAACAACTCGATAAAGCCGATAAATTCGAGCCACCATCTTTCATGACATTGGTTGATCCCGAAGGTAGCAATCAAACCGCCACCGCCGTGCCACTGCAAGCAGGCTGGTTTCCTTCTCTTACTCACACGGCAAACGAATCACGCGGAAGAAAGAAGAACGAAGAGATCATAGCAAAGGTAACTAACTGGAACGCAAAGCAGCACACTCCACTGAAGAGCCTACTTGGTGAAGCCATTAATGAGACGAAGCCGAAGTCCCCGAACTCAAAGGAACATCCAAGAGAGGAAAAAGTAGCCATGATTACTAAAGTTAGCTCAATTCTGGGACTTGAATCACCTGATGCCGAGCCTACCGATGTCGAAACGGCGAAAGAATGGAATTCTCCGGTAAGATATGAAGCTGATATTAAAAAGGAGGAGAGGAAAGTGAAGGGTAGGCCACTGTGGGCACAGTTCGTGTGCTGTTCGTATGTAAATTAGGATCATCAATGCTCCACATGACTGAATTTTGATTATGTTAGACATTATTGAGTGGAATCCTTGGCTTAATATTTGTTTTGGTTCGTGTACTATTAATTTAATTTAGTATTTGTACATTTTTTTATAATTTAGATCTTGTCCTATTATTTTATTAATAATTATAGTGTTATATCTATATAGAAATAGATTATATAAATATTAGAAAATGAAAAAGTAGTACAGAACAAGAGAAAAATAATAAAAAGTTGATAGTATGTAAAACTCTCCAAATTTGAAAGCAAGAGATATTCAGATAAATTTTATGTTTTTAGATGGAGAAAGCAATACCCTTAAATTTAGATTGTAAAATCACGTTGATATGGCAATTCTCCATCAATAATTCCAACAACGAATCGATTTTGATCAAAACCCAGTTCCCCAAACGAACGGGGCATTGTTGTTCTTGTGGTCTATCCTCTCTCCGCCCATCGCCTCGGCCGCCACCGCCTCCGGATGATTGTTCTTCCAAACCCCATACTATGCATCACCACAGTAGCAAATTCTTCGAGATGATGGAGATTGGACCAAGAATGATTTCTGATCTGCCATTAGATATCTCAGCCATGCCTCTAGATCTAATGAAATCCACCAGGTTTGTTCCTTTTCGCTCCGTCTCTTTGTTTTTCGAGTTATACAATCTGTAAAGTCCAGATTTTTACAAAATTTGGAATGTTGTTTTTGAGGATTAAATTGTATATTTTTATGCTTAATGAAAATGGGACACCGTTTGGTCCCTAAGACAATGATGCCAAAAAAAAAGTTACGGTTGGAGAAAATACACCAAATATAGTCTAAAGTTCAGTTTTTTTACTACGTTGTTGTTTGGTCTCTGAGAAAGGGATGGGAAATGAGAAGTTTGGGTTTAAAAATTGAAGGGAAATGCAGAGAATACAATTCTTAAAGTTCAGTTTTAGTGATGTGAAAATTATTATGATGCTTTAATTGAACTTAATGAAAATGACACTGTTTGGTCAGTGAGAAAGGGATGGAAAATGAGAAGTTCCGAGTTAGAAAATGGGTAGGAAAATACAGTGAAAATAGAACACGGGATGTTTTCTAGTTTTCCAATTTGATTACTTTGAAATTTTATAAGTTATATATCTGTGGGCAGGTTTTTCATGGGGAAGAAATCAAGAATCAATGGACTGAACTATGAAAAGATAATAGGATTGTTATGTGAAATGGGAATGGCTGAAGAAGCAATCACGGCACCACGCGAAATGGATTACTGATCTTGGACCTTCTTTGAAGATTTACAACTCGATAATCCACGTTTATTCCAAGAATGGGAAGTTTGATCATGCTGTGTTCTTTCTCAATGAGTTGAGAGAAACAGGTTCGGAACCCAGAACCGACACCTAGATGGGCTCAACGAAGCATATGGAAAATATAAGATGTACGATGAAAACGGGAGATTCTTGAAGACGATGGTGTTGGATGAGTGTCCACCTAACCAATTTACCTACAACTAGCTTATCCGTGAGTTTTATCAAGGCGGGTACTTCAAAAATGGAACGGGTTTATTGTATCGTGACCTCGAAACAGTTGGTTGCAATGCTTGAGGCATATTCAAACTTCGGGATTCAATATAAGATGGAGAAGATTTATCGGAAGGTGAACTCAACTTCTCTGAAAGAGGATACAATCAGGAAACTAATCGATTCTTATATCAAGAACCATATGTTTTCTAGATCAGATGATCGGGGTAATGATCTTTCATCTCGAGAACCGGCAGAAACGATCTTGTATAGCTGACCCTGTCACCAGGTAGCTTAGGTAAAACCACAACACAATACACATTGATCTTCATGTTCCTTGTCGGATAAGATGGTTATTTAAACATCTGTTTCATGCACCAAATAAGACTTGAAACAAAAGAAAATGAGCCATGTCATTGGAATTTCCATGTCCATATTAAATACCAAATATGGCCTTTTAGATTCAGTACACAAATACACATCCACTCTCTTCTGATTCAATATCCCAAAAATTGTTCTATCCAAATATGTTCTTATTTGAATACATTCTCACCAATACCTTCCTTTCCCTGTATATCTAAAAGAAAAACAACTCAAACTGACCTCTTTGATGCCATGCTTATTCGTTCGATAACTTCCTGACAAATCCTCAAGGGAACGAAATGATGCTATCTTTATCCTTATTGTTTTCTTCCAAAGATCGTGATGGTGTTCGATGTCTCATTCATAAAATTTACGGAGAGAAAGGTAATGGAACCACATGGAAGAGAGGATGTAAGACAAGATACAAAACTCACATCGATTGAATTTTCATACCAAAACGGAAACCACCAAGTCTTTTGACTATTTTCTACAATTAAGATTGTACAGCCAACTTCTGGAGATGCTCAAAGAAGACTTGTAAGCTTACATCATCGGTAAAGATCACATCTGAGCCGGCAGCCATATCATTGGCATTATTGTATGTTGCTGATGGGTTCAACTTTGCCAATAAAAATCTTGCCTGCTCAGGGAAACAAAAAATAAGCCCCTTGATAATGGTAAACCCAATTTACAATTACCATATACCGAATAAGGTTACGAAAGCTAAACCCATATAAGGTAAGGTTGCATTGCGCCAATGAACCAAGAACAATTTTACACAAGGGTAAACCAAGAACAATTATTATATATCCAAAGAAATATCTAAGAAAAGGAATCACGCCTTACTGAAATATACAGACCTGGGATCCATGTTGATCACAAACAACCAATCTTGGGACAGGGAAGCGTTCCAGAATGATCATTTGTGCATCCATCTGAGGTGCTTGCAAAAGCTGAGCAAATGCCTATGGAAAGGGAGAAAAGAGTGAAGCTTTATACAAGACAATGATAGTACAAAATGGTTTATGAACGCAATATTTAAGCACATTAGAAAATTCACCATATTCTACATTACAATGAGGTAGCAGATCATTGTGATTAATCTCATAGTTTAAATTTCAGAGCTACAAGGTGATGTGTATCAAGAACTTGCTTGTCTATCATTAAGATTAAAATTTCACAAGAATCAGTAAGACTTAAGTAAGAATAAACAATTATTCAACCTAAAGGGTCCATGTGATTAGTAAAATTTTAGCTTCATGCATGATTGAAAATTGCATAATACAAACATGCCGGTTCTAAATAAATGTGCAATTAAGCTCTAGATTCAGGAGGTATGAACAAAATGAACATACCTGATGTTCAGGCTGGTTCTGGTAACCCATGTTGCGCCATTGTGCTATTGTCATGCCATGGAAAATTACAATACTAAAATATGAATCCAGCAAGAGAATACGATCAGCCGAAATGGAAGCCACATCCAATAATGCTGGTTGCGGTAGCGAGTTAAACGAATATGATATTAACGATGGTTGAATCATGACGGCAGCATTTGTAATATTTTCCCTGTTTAATAACATGCGAAAATAGGCGGTTTCATCTGGACTGTTGTTAAAAACCTGTCACAGAAAAGGGGCTAAAAGTCATTATGAACGTAGCTCAAGTAAGTATTATGGAAAAGGAGGTAGCGTAATTAGGAAAAAGAAATTATTACCTGTACAAATTGTGACCGCCGCAGATTAAACATAAACTGAGGAAACAAAGAAAAACAAGGGTTTAATGAAAAGATGATGGATCATCCTTTCGATAGTCGCCAAATTTAGAACAAAATCGGATGAGATTCCGGTCTAGCCACCTTGTAGCATCAAACCCCTCCTGAATGAAACCAAAAGCCATGATCATGAAAGGGATTAACTAACTAATAATTAAATAATAACAATCAACAGAGGAACACGTTTTGCAAGGTGCCAAAAGATAAGACATTGAAATTATAACAGGAGGAAGACCCACTAAAAACTCAGGGTGAAGAGAATAATCATATCCAGTAACATGAATACAGAATAAAAGTGGAAAATATTCAATAAAAATAGCATAATGAAATAAGCAGGGACAAATCAGATGAATTAAAAGTTAACAATGAATACATTCAAATGAAATAAGCAACTGGTTGACGGTTGAATAAAAGACTTCCTAAATTACCTCTGTCTCCATTTTCAGGGAAGTTATTCTTGCCATTACAACAGCCGCAGTCTCTTGATCAAAACCTTGTATTAATTCCTAGAAAGGATGATAAAATTATAAATAGAAATAAGAGTGACTCCAAACAGTTAATCAATCGAATAATATGAGAAATACATTGAATATTTGGTGGAAAACATTATTCATGGTTAGCATACAATAATTCCAATTTCCATCAAACATAATCGATCATTACACTATCCAAACCAAGACACGTACCGCAGTGAAATGTATACAAATCAACAAACCCACCAACGTTGAAATTTAACAAAACAGAAAATGGGACGAAAAGAAAGAAAAAAAACATACATGAAGGTACTATTCAGACAATTACCTCTGAACTAACAGCACTGTCTACCCATTGTCTAGTCACAGTAGTAACTCGGAGCATTGTTTTACCCTCAGGGTCTTGATAGCTGCAATAATCATATCACAGTCAAATTACTAAAAAGAGAAAACTAGAAAACAAAGCCTACATACAGTGTTAAGGTAAATAAAGTGGACCCTTTTAGTTCTTTGTGCAGCAAACCTTGTAAGAAACTGCAAATAGAGCTGTGAATTTGCCATTCCAGGAGCATTTGATCGGTCAGTTGATGAAAGATCAAATAAAACCGTCAAGCAAGTACTCTTGTCAAGACCACACATCTTCCATGCTGTAGTGTTTCCTTCTCCAATGACAGTGTCAGCAACATTAGGTCCTTTCTGCAACCCTCAAAATTATCAGCTTATGTCCCCATAAATACAAATAAATTGTGTCTACACTTTATAGTGCGTGTCTTTGCCGAGATAGCGAGAGATATAATCAAATTTCTAAATTGCACAACCTTCTCCAAAGAAGAGCAAGGCCCTATAACCCCCTGAATCTTGATGTCTTTAGAACAGTTGATCTCAAGGGTGCCACTAGGAAAAAAATAGCATATAATTAGTTTGAAATGTATACTACCACTAAAATAGTTCATTTTTCTGGGTGCTCCAAACCATGCCTCAGGAAATTATACAAGTTACAGATGATGCATGCCAATACAAAAACTTAAAGCACAGCATGAGCATGTAAGCAGAATACTAAATTTGAAATCAGAAATTATACTCCTACTGCAGCAAGGTAATACATATATTACTTTCAATAATACGGGCACTCCCATTTGCAATATTTACATAAAAACCTATTAAGCCAAAGGGCAGAGTATGCAAAAACATAATAGTAGCATTTGCAATTTCATAAATTTTTACTCTGCTTCCAGCAAAATACTGAGGTCAACAAACTTTTATGTGAAAAGATTACAATCTTTCAGAGCAGCACACTGTGAGGTTGGCACTTTTTAGAACTTAAAAAATAACACAAGGCCAACTGGAACCGAGGCAAAAAATGTAAATAAAGCAATTAATAATGCAACTATATAGTTATTTACCAACATGCAGGGAAAAATATAGTAAAAAGGCTGAACAAGAAATGGTGTGAAAAGAGAAACTAACTTAAAACATAGACCAAGAGACTGCTCCCCATCCTCAAACACACGCTTGAAAGAGTTTTTGAATACAGAATGACCAAAACTTTCTGCTAGAACAACGAGACCACCTGTTTTTTCAACGGCAACTTTCATTTCAGCAACCCCAACCTGAGAAGACAAAATAACCCTTTACATATTTATATACAGTTCACATTGTCACGATTACTAATGTCTGAGGTTATTAGCATTCATTTAAAATAAAAGTTTTGCGTCCATTTTAAACAGAATAATTAACACCCACAGATTCTTACAGCATAAAGCATTTACATTACAAGCCACCGATCAAATAAGCAAGGAGAAAAGCCTTAACACTTTACTTTCAGCGCATATTAAGAATTACACATTGGGCTGTTGAAGTTTCAAATAAGATTAGGATCCTTATATCGTATCTACTTCAGCAGGTTTGTCATTGTTTAAATTCAATTCATGAGACCAGTTAAAGGCACAAAAGAACCAAAAATTTTGTCGAGTGAATCGATCCTTATCAAGAGAGTAAACTAGTTTGGTACATCACAGACGGATTATAAGAACAAAAGAGAGTTTAAATATAATTGGAGAAACTAAAAAGTTGCCAAGACAAACCTGATCAAGCGCTGAAGCAAAAAGGTCAAGAACATGACCCTGGCTGACCAACTGCTTAGCAAAACTATCATAAAATTTCACAGCTTTCTTAAAATAAGGTGCAGCATCCTTATCAAGATCTTTGTGGGAACGTACAGGCTCCGACAGATCTTTAGATACAATCTGCAAAAGTCATATAAATCAGTATCATCTTGATGACAAACAAGAATGTCTTAAACAAGAAGCAATCTTCATATTCAGATTATTTGCCAAATCTCCATTTTCTCAATCAAATCATTGTTGTCTATGAGTCATTAAAACAAGTAAAAGGTATTTAAATATTGACAATCATCTCTGACAAAGAAACGGTGCTTATTAAGGCGTTAATCTGTATGGAACTATGAAGGTAACATAAAATTGTGCAAACAAATTCAATGAAAGAATCGGGGTGATAAACAGGAATAATTTATGTAAAACAGAATCAATTTTTAGCTAATTGCATAAGTAAATGCACTTACATTAAATGCATCAAACAGAGAACTGGTTTGTAGACATTGCCCTGTTTCATACAAAGATGGGCACCTGTGGTTGTGCTCTAATATAAATGCCATACTACATACAGGTTACAACAAATCATATCCAGATCAATCATATATAGTCTATGTTAGAATCGGTGTGAGTGTTGGTCATATCTTCATACCCTATGAGACACAAGTACTTCAAGAAAAATACCAATTCCAAGTAATATAGGGCACATTTATCATGTGTTAAACCCATCAACTACTTACAACTCATGATAAAACGAATTAGATTATACCTATTAACTATCAATTTTATAATTTTTTGTTTGTGTCATTTAATTGTCCTAAAAGTATAAATTCAGCAGCTAAACAAAGGGTTTAATGACATTACCGTCCCAGGGCCTTCAGTACATGGACCACCAACCAAAGCAACAATCCGAGCACCAGTACCAGGCAAGCAAGCTCCAAGCAATCCAGCTGCAACACTCAAGGCAACTCCGGTGCACCTTGACGCTCTCTGCCCTGCTTTTACAGGCCATTGATCCGTTTGTAACTCATCCAGCAACTACAGTAAAATCAGCCAACCACTTAATAAAAAGTTCAACAACATAAAATATGATTTCCCACACAAAAATTGATAATAAAAAAACGCACCGAATTCAGTGTGAACTCGCAATCAGAAGCAGGCAATAAGAACCTATTAACTCCAGTATCTGTGTACCCATTTTGTAAGCCTTTCGGATACCCGGGAGTCGACCGCCGCCCCGCAGCACCAAGCCCCAACTGCTCCAACACCTGCTCCTTGGAAATCTCCTTACTACCCCTGAAAATATAGACCTTCGACATATCCGAGAACCCCAATTCATGTACATGAGCTTGAGTCCCAAACGAAACAAACCCAACGAGCGCGTTTTCCGGCAACAACCCAATCGCCTGCTTCATCGCCGATTTGGCAGACCCAAGCTCTTCCTCTATCATGCAAGTGTCCAACACGAATACAAACACTTGCGGCAACTGAGGAGCATTGGCTGGGTTGTTCGGATCCGGGTAGAGCGTGTACTGCACGGTGGTGTACTGCGGGTAGAGTTCGCACGGTAGATTCGTCTCCGAGATCATGGCGTAGTGAGGCGGGAAATGGTTGCGCTGGTAACAGAAAGGGCAGATCCAGATCTTCGCGGTGAAGTCAACGCGCGCGAAGGCATTCAGCGCAGCTGTACACGTCTTGCACCTAAGAGGCGCGTAAGGAAGCGTGGGGATGTCCGGGTGCGGGCGGATCGGAGAGATGGTACACGCCAACGGCAGCACGCACTTGCTGGCTTCGACTTTGATGCGTGGCCAAACGTTCCACGTCATTCGCACGGCATCGATCCCTTCCGGGTCCACGTTGGCCACTTCCGACATGGTTGATAAATATATTAAAAAACCTTTTTTTGGATTAAAATAGAACGATAATTTAGAAATTAAATGAGAATTTTGGTGTTTCTTCTTCTTCTTCTTCTTCTTTTTTTTAGATTTTTGGGCGACCCCAAGAGAAACTGAACATAAAGGGGTCACCTACAGAAGATTAAAAGAGAGAAAGAAAGAAACAGATGATTTCTAAAACGAAAAGTGAAAAGAAACCGATTTGATCTGAAGTGGGTATTTAAAGGCAAAGATTTGTAATTACGGGAGTTTAGGAATTTTTTTAATTTTTTATTTTTTTCTTCATCGATATTTCATGTTACCATAAACAAAATTTCTTCAATTTTTTATAAATTAAAATTTCCATTTAATAATTATTACATTATTCTGTAACATCCAAATATGGATATTAATCCATTGAATTTTTTAAATCAATATTATCTTATTTAATTAAACAAATTCGAATTAAAAGTTTTATATAATTGAGTGAATGAAAATAAATTTAACTTGAATTAGGTTTAAAAAAATCTAATAAATTTTTTACTGGAATTAAAGTAATATTTAAGTATAATAAAATAAGTGTTATAAAATATTATACCATTAAGAGCTCATTTTAAAAAAAAACAATTGTTTATATATTTTGAATAATTTAATTGTGTATTTTAAATTTAAGTTAAATTATTTAATTTAGAATATTTATTTAAAGAACTACTCATATTTATTCATTAAATAATACAAAATATTACACTGATAGTATTTTTATTATATTAAAAAAATTCAATAATTTGGGTTGAATATAAGCATTATTTATTTATAATATTTCTGAATTATTGACAACACACACCTTACAAATATAGTTGCTCGAATCCAATATCTCAAGGGAGAACAACAATCAACTAAGGTCACTTCATGGATTCATTGAATCCCGAGTCAACTGAGTAATCTTAATGATTAAAGGGAGTATTATTATTTATGAAACTCTTGGATTCAAGTAGTCGCATGTCTACAACGTGTGTTGTCAATGATTAAGAAAAATTATGAATATATATTATTTTATAATCACCTAAAATTATTTAAAAAAGTATATATTGTATTTAAAATGATATATTTGTATCAAATTTAATAAGTTAGCAATTTATTTTTATAAATATTTTAGCTGTTTAATGTTGTATCTACTATGTAGATATGATAACAGCTAAATCTATTCATAATTCAAAAGTTTCATTTAATTTGGACAAAAATATTGTATTTTATGGTAATAATTGAACTCAAATTTAATTTAAGGAATAAAAATATTTTAAATTTAATTATAATACACATAAATAGTAATTAAAATATGTATCTTCAATACTTTATTCATATATGATAGTTATATATTAAACGTTCCAATACCAATAATAATACAATAAAAATCACAGGCTAATTAGAACCACTAACAGCATCCACCCATCCTTATTGAGTAGATGCAGAGAAGCTAAGCATTTGCCTCTCTTCAGGTTGAGACCAAGGTTTGATCAAAACCACCGCATCGAACGTCTTCTTCTCCCCGTTCTCCGTCGCTTCGATCTTTAGAAAGTATTTGATCCCCGAAACTATCTGTTGTCCGGCCTCCACCACCTGCGAAAACCCCAGCTAATTGCCCCCGTTTCCCTTCTGCAACTGGCTTTTGTTGCACTCCGCCACCGCGAACCTCCCAAGTTCTTGCACCCCTTTGTTCGCACTCACGTCGTTGATCGGCGTTTTGCCTCCCACTATCGTCCCGTATCCGTTAGCCGCCGTGAATATCGTCGCGAACATCGACGACAGAGCCAGAATTGTTAGCTCAGTTTTCGCCATTTTTATTTTGATTAATATAGATGATATGTTTGTACATATATATAGTTATAAATATATATATATACAGAGAGAGAGAAACTGGAAATGAAGGAAGAAGAGTGGTGCGCATTGAATGAGGAGAGTGTTTTGAGACGCAAATTAAGGTGGTGAAGTGCGTTGAGAGGGCAAGCGACAAGCAAGGCTAGCTAACAGCCACTTTCAACTACACTTGTCCATTAATATTTGGGTAAATTACGGATCGTTCTTTATGTTTATGATCTGTTCTGTTTTAGCCACCGTTTTTTAAAAAAATATATAGTTTTGATCACATATAAGAATTCCAAGGTCAATACGTTTCCATCCTCACGCCATTGTTACTATTGGCTGGAAAAATTGAGACGCATTCATTGTTACTATTGGCTTAAAAAATTGATAGACATTTTTCCCCCTTTTTCGATTTCAAGGTTTTACCTTAATTAATATAGAAAAACTTAAATTGTTGGATGAAATTCTTTTACTTACATAAAAACTCGAACTCAAAACATTCTTAAGTGATATTAAATTACTTACCACTTGAACTAATTCTAGTCGGTAAAATTCAGATGCATTAAACTTAGGGGTATAAACGAGTCGAGTCGAGCTCGAGTATTGTGGAGCTCGACTCGACTCAAAAACTCTGAAATGGAGCTCGACTCGACTCGAAAACGCGCGGAATTAAAATTTTCAAGCTCGACTCGAACTCGAAATCCTGAACTGAAGCTCATGAGCAGCTCGAAATGAAATTTTTTTTAAACTTAATTCTATTGAAGCCTCAAGCTCAAACTCGAACCTTAAATACATGAAATCTTACTGTATTTTTAAAAAAATCAATACATAAATATTAATATTATTAATAATTTATTTTTTTTAAAACAAAATCTTAATATATATTATATTTTCGAGCTGCTCACGAGCTTTTCGAGTCGAATATCGAGTAGCTCGTTTCGGCTCGTTAAGAACTCGAGTCAAGTCTATTCGATCTGAATATTTATCGAGCCTTGATCGAGTCGATCTCGAATAGCTCGCGATTTGTCTCGTCTCATTTACAACCCTAATTGAACTGTTGGGTTGTACTATATCGTACGATGGGCTACATATTTAACGTGCTATCAGCTATGCTTCTATGATAGTGACTGATCCATAAATTTAAGAATGAAGTCCAAAATTTTAATTTTATTTTCTTAAAAGTAATAGGTAGGCAAAAATTATAATTTTTTTAATTTTCCAAAATAATGGGATGCACTTGGTCCGGGCTTAGTGCATCCGCCACTGTTCCATGAGTGGATAGACTCCTAATTATGTATGATTATACTTTACTAACAAACATATTTACATAATTAGAATTTCCACAAGAAGATGTAGAAAGTAAAAACTCTGCCAAAATCACACATTCTTTATTCAGTTAACTAGCACTCCTAAAAACTTGAAAAGACAATTGAATTATTTGAGGAACTAGATGAATCTAGAGTGAAGATGAGACTGCTTTAGTAAACACAAACACCTCAAATTATATGTCTTGAAAAGTAACTGAATAAACACAAGTACTTAAAACAACAACACAAACATGATATGTAACATTAGCTATAGATTTTCTTCTCTTACTACAGTTCTTTTAACTTGTAATGACAAAGGTACAGCAACAGCTAGGGTTTTTGGAACTTGTAATGATATTTAAACGAAGACTCGAGGAACCGAATCAACAGGCTTGCAATCAACCTCCCTGAGTTTAGGTATGAGCCCTTTCCCACCACCATTCGCCAGTGGATGAATCCCATGATCCGGACCCTCTAACTCGATTCGCTTCGCCCTCTCTTTCTCGAACGAAACTCCAAATCGATTCTCCACATCTGCATTAGTTAAATACAACTTATAGTATTTATTTTTTATTTCCATGTACTTATAATACATGTAACATATTTGGTCACATCTGCATTAATTAAATAATGCAACTTATAGTATTAATATTTTATTTCCATGTACTTATAATACACGTAACATATTTACGTAGGTCACTTAATTTTATGTGTCCAACACTCGATTTACTTCGATTACCTTTGGCGAGTTCGTCGTAGAGCTGACCATCTCGAGTGAGAGCCATCATCAACTGGGGTAACCCAAGAGGGAGATTATCACCTTTATCAACCTGCCAGAAATGGATGGTCTTACCATAAGTCTTGCAAACCTTGTCAAGGCCGTGTCGCTCGATTGGCCCAGGGACTCCCGGCAGAAACAGCACCCCGCTCTTCACTTCGTACTCGTGCGAATGCCAGAGCGGCTTCTCTTCGTCCGGCAACGTCAAGAACAGATTCTCCGATATCATGTACTCTAATCCGATCAGCTTCGCGTCTGCTCCGGGGCTGTCGTAGATCAGACACTGTCGCATTTCTTCGTTTTGATGCGCGCAGTAATGGTGCGACTCGACTTGACGGGTCATGTCGTAGCCATAGAAATGAAATCTACAACAAAAAAGCCACCAACGACACGTGATTTTAACTTGAGAAAAGTGAAACAAAATAGGGGTATTCGATTAAAATGTGGGTGTAATTACGCGCAGAGATGTTGATGGATTGATTTGATTGGGTGGAAGCTTTGGACGGCGCCTGTGGCGGTCTCGACGAGAGAAGTGGCGATTTGAGTCGGCTCGCCGGGAACTTCAAGGTGATTCGACATCGTTTTTTTTTTGGACTTAACTGTTTGAAATTTTTGGATCAATGAAGAGTTTTAAAAGAATGTTGCTTTTGCATGCAGAGCTACGCGTGGTAGGAGGTTCAATAGACGTGGCGATTAACATCGCTTCTCTTGACAGCTATATATTTTAGGATAAACTACCTATTTGATCCCCACTTATTATTTAATGTGTTTCGGTCATTCAATTATTTCTTTTTAAAATAATGATTAATGTTAAGTTTTGGTTCTGGTTTTTTTACCCGTTATTAAAGAATTAACGATCATACTAACATGATGTTTTCAACACTAACGTCACATTGTCTAATCGTAACATGCCAGCATTAGTGTTAATTTTTTAATGGTGGTGACTAAAACATAATCAAGACATAATGTTAGGTATGATTTAAAAAAACATAATATCGAAAAATGCTTCTAACATTTTTTAAATAATCATTTTGGCCCCTATTCTATTTTGGAGCATTTTGGCCTCTAATATTTTATTTTATGGGGCAAAAAAGCTCCTCTATGGATGGAAATAAGTAGTTAACAAACGGTTAACGCTCCAAATTATGATCCTTTTACCCTAAAAGGAAATGTTGAGGATCAAAATGCTAAAAAATAATCAAGACCAGAGTGATTATTCGATTTAACATTATGAGTTTTTTTTGCTATAAAATGAAACATTGAAAGTTAAAATGCTCCCAAAAAAAGAATAAGAACTAAAATAATCATTTTGGTAAACATTGAGGACTAATTTTGACATTATACCTAAAAATAATAGTTGAGTGACAAAAATAAAAATTAAGTAACTAATGAATGACTAAATAGGTAATTTACACTGCATTTTAATACGATAGATTATTGTCTGCGTCATTTATGATAAATTAAGGGTAAAATACACTTATAACTATAGTGTAACATCCCAAAAGCCGAGTCAGTGATCAAAATAGAAGTTTTGGAAACTTAGTGACCAATCTCATAAAAGATTAAAAGTTCAGGGACTTAATTGAAAGATTTTGATGTTGGATGTAATAATAAAGTTTGAAAGTGATAAGGGTATTATAGTCATTTTACAAGCAAGATTTTTATTTCCCTTTATATAGGGTATTAAACACGTGGAAAGTGAAATGAAAGAAATAAAGAATAAGAAGAGTCTGGAGATGGTGAAGTTATATTCTTCTCTCTTCCCGTATCTTCATGTATAAGGTAAGTTGGTTTCAAGCTGGTTAATTCTTTTGTTTTAAAGTTGGTTTTGATCTTAGAGTGATAGAAAAGAATAAGAAAAGCTTAAGATGTCTTAAAACTCAAAGATTATCAAGTTATGAGAGATTGAAGATAAGAGGTTCAAAATTGAAATCTTGGAAAAGAGTTAGTAATTGAAGTTGGAAGTTAAATTTGACTTGTCAACAGTCAAAATAAGAAATCCAAAGTATTGGAAACGAATTTAGAACATGTTGAGAAATTGGTAAGATTATTGGATTTTAAATTCAAGATAGAATATTGAAAATTAAGGAGAGTTATAGTGATATAAGTTGTCTAGAAGAAGTGTAGTTAAATTTAAAGGGCTAAAAGAAGGTTATATAAGAAGAATTAAGTAAGTTTGAGTGATTTTTCATGCTTAAAATGTGATTTTTGTGTTAGGGGTATCGTTACCCATTCATCAGGTATCGATACCCTCTCAAACGAAAAATTACATAATGCAATGAGGGTATCGATACCCTAAGGAGGGTATCGATACCCCTAAAGGGAAAATGTGAATATTGGTTTATTAAGTTTGTTTAAGTTGCCAGTATCAAATTACAATGTGTAGGTATCTAATAATTGTCTTAAAATGTATATTTATGTAGATTCTGAGCTTAAAGCAATTCCGAAACATTTGGCAAGTAAGATCGATCAAGGGAAAGAAAAGATAAGAGACCGAATTGACTAGTGAGGCCAGGTGAGTGCATATTAGATATTATATGATGTTTAATGGAAATAAGACTTGCGACGAGTCTATTTCCGATAGTATTATGCATGAATTCATGAATCTGAGCATGTGTTTGCTATGAGTGTATGAGTAATATGTTATAATATGTGTGTCAAGATTTGTATGAATATATGTTAGTGTAATAAGATATAGGGACCGGTATAAGTAATATATATGTTTACATAAATTATATGATGATATAAGAATAGATATGAAATTATGAGTATAAAAGATAAGTCATGTGATAAGATTTATGGAATTTATAGAAACGAAAATATATGAATATAAAGAGTTATAAGAGAATAAATATAAGTTATATGATAGTGAAATATAAGACTATGTGAATATATAATTATAAGATAAAATATGTAATAACAAGAGAATATGATCAAAGTGAATTCCTAAGAACAATAGGAACTAAGTAAACATGTGTAAAGGTTATATGAATAATAGAAACATGAGTTAGACAAATACATAGTGGTATGATCAATTATGAGAATTAGTGTAACATCCTCAATACCGGGTTAGTGACCAAATTGTAAAGTTTCAGAATTTGGTGACTAAAGTATAAGAATGAAATAGTTCAATGATTATTGGATATATATATGATGAAGGTTATTTAGTAATTATTAAAGGAAATTAAGGGTTAAATGGTCATTTGACCAGAAAGATTTTTATATTCCTTTTAAAGGTAATATAAACGTGGGAAATATGAGAAACATCCAGAGTTCTCTTCTCCTTTCTTCTTCTTCATACGTGGGAGAGCAAGGCAAAGGTAAGTTTAATTTCAGTTGGTTAATTCTTGAGTTTTAAGCTTAGTTTTGATTCTTTGGGTATTAAATAAGCTTAAGGAAAGCTTATATGGGATTTAAACAATAAGATAAAGGAATTATGAAGGAATTTGCAATATGAGTTTTAAGATGAAATTTTGATATGGTATGGTTGTTGAAGTTTTATGGATGAATTTGACTTGTCATCAATCTAATTAAGAAGTATGAAGTGTTAGAATTGGAATTAGAACACATTGAAAATTTGGTATGATTCTTGAATCTCATATGGAAGATAGGATTTTGAGGTTTAAGATGAAATAAATGAATATAGATTGGTTTAAGTATGTGTACTAGAGTTAAGAATGAAAAGGGGATGATATGAAGTGTTTGAGAGGAAATGAAGTAATTTTCGGGTTGAAAATATGATTTCTGGGCAAGGGGAATCGGTACCCATTCAAGGGGAACCGATACCCCTTCAAACGAACAAAATTTCCAGAATGTCATGAGGGAATCAATACCCCCTTAGTAGGGAACCGATTCCCCCTAAAGGAAAATTGTAAATATTGGTTTAATAAGTTCGTTTAAGTTGCTAGTATCCAACTACAAGGTGTAGGTATCTAATGATTGCCTCAAAATGTACATTTATGTAGATTCTACGCATAAAGCAATTCCGGAACATTTGGCAAGTAAGATCGATCAAGGGAAAGATAAGAGATTGAAATTGACTAGTGAGGCCAAGGTGAGTGCATACTAGTGATATGTAGTGTTTAATGGAAATAAGACTTGCGATGAGTCTATTTCCTAGAGTAATATGCATGAAGTCATGGGCATGATTATGTGTGGTTATAATTATATGTGATTATCTGTATTACATTGATTGTATGTATGCATGACTAAAGATAATGACATGCTTTGTATATACTATATGATTTATGTAAGACTTTATTATGTAATAATGGAAGAACATGGAATAAGTTATATGATATGGTATAAGTGATTATACGAGAAATGTTAGGAGACTTTAAGAGAATAGTATGAATTCGAGGGCATAAATAAGGATACTTAAGTTATATAGGGAAGATTGATAAATTAAAGGAAACTATGGTTTATGTATTATAGTGAAGAGCTACAAAGTTTTATTAAAGAGTATTGTGGAAGTCATGAGAAATTGAACTAAATAAATAGATGGTTTATGTGAGTGGAAAAGGAAAATGATATAAAATAAATGGAAATTATTTATAAGATAGCATGAGACTAATTGAACATGTAATATAAACTTTATAAAGGAGTACTTGGGTAAAATCATTATATGATACAATTATAGAGTATTACTATACAAATCATATTAAAATATGATATATGAGAATATGAGTAAGTTTATAGGATATTGATAGGACATATAAGAATATTTAAATGTATGATGATATAAAAAAGGGAATACAAAGAAATGGAGCATCAGGTAGATAATATGATATCAGTTATTATATATCTATATGATATATGCCATCAGGTAATATGAAAGGACTCTGAAAATTGATATAAGCTATGAGAAAGTGTTATAGGTGTTTCTTGTGTTATATGAAGCATATATGATCATATGTGAACAAGATATGATATGTATGTTTATATGAATATCTGAGAAATGATCTAAGCTATATGATATGTTATATGACATGGATCTATGTAACTACGCGAGAAAGTATATAAGCTATGTGACATGTAAATGTGACTCATATGAAATGTTCTATGAGTAATTGAACTATGTGTTATGTGAAATGATAAGTATAAAAGAAAATGCCCATGTTATGTGTCTTGAGAGCTAGGGGTATAGTTGGCATGCCAAGAGTCGAGGGTTTACCTATGTTCTACGGAACATATGGATAGTTTTACCTATGTCTTTCGAGACATATGGACAGTATACCTATGTTCTAAGGAACATATGGACAGTTTACCTATGTTCTTCGGGACCTATGGACAGTTACCGAGGATCTTTATGACCTCTGGATAGGTCCTTCGGGACATTTATATGAGCTGTGATGACAGCATAGTGGTGCACAACCTCAATAGACTCACATATCTACAGTTCTCACAGGTGTACATGGGCTAATCAAGAGATATAAACAAATATATGTTTGTGATATGATAAATGTATTACAAATGATATGATGTTGTGTGTGTATAGTGTTTGATTGAAAAGGTTAAGCATAAAAGTATGTGATTACATGATAAACTGCTAATGATGATTTATGTGTATGTATGTATTTATTGTTAATTAATCTGATATAATTTTACATGATATGAGGAAGTCATGTAATTTGGTATAGCATGATAGAACAGAACATGCATATATTGATATATGTTATAAAGTGCATTATAAGTTTTTATGCCTCACTAAGTCTTCGACTTAGCGTGTGATTGTTTCACACGTAGGTTTCGAGAAGAGTAAAGAGTAATGCGGAGCAAGACAGGTCAGTTCTCCTTACCAAATGTCAGATCAGAAAATATATGTACTGGTTATAGAGTGTAGTTGGCATGTAGTCTAAAGATATAAATTGTATGAACTCTGATATATTTTGTAAACGTTTTGAATAAGTTAAGTGTTATCAAAGTTTTTAAATTACTCACTATTTTATACGAATAAATGTTTGAAAAGTCAATGTGACACTTCAGACTCGTATCCGGGTCGGATACGGGTTGGGGGTGTTATAATTAGTGTATTAGAGTTATAGGATTTATGGAGAATTGAGGAAAACTAGATAAGATTGAATTATAGAATAAACTTAGAATAATATATCACTTAGTAAACTTGAATATAAAGTGATGATATGCACCTATAATATAAGATATATATTTATAAATAGGACATAGGTTATGTAATATCAGTGCATACTCAGAAATAAAGAACAAGATAGATGATACGATATAAACTATATATGAATTAGTGATGTAGGAATGTGATATAAAAATGAAATAAAAGTTATGTGTTATATGATACATATGAACATATGAGAATAAGAGATAAGATAAGTGACTTTGTGATAGAATCTATATGACCATGAATTTTATAAATAGGAGCAATTTAAGTGCTATGTGACTATGAGTATTTGAATATGTATCTATGTGATGTGATATATGAGGTCATATGAAATATTATATGACTACGTAATTATATGGAAAAGAATATATGTGCATGTAAATTATATGGAAATGAACTACGTGACTGGATGTGATCTTATGAAAATTGATAATGAGCTATGTGAAAGAGCTATGAGATTATGTGTATATGTGATATGAATATGTGAATGTATAATAATATGAATATTACTGCTCGTGTTATGTGTCATGAGAGCTAGAGGTATAGTTGGCATGCCAAGAGTCGAGGGTCTACGCGGTCCTTCGGGACATATATGTATTCTTTGGAACACGTGTGAGGTCTCTTGAGACACATACTTGATCCTTAGCATATGTATATGGTTCTTAAGGAATTTTCTATGTGGTCCTTAGGGACATCTTATATGACACTTCGGTGTATTTCTACGCGTCACTATGGTGTAATTCTACGTGGCACTTCGGTGCAATTATACGAGTTGTGGTGACAACATTAGTGCACAACCTCTATAGACTCACATATCTATAGTTCTCACATGTATACATGGGATAATAAAGAAGATGATATAAAAGAACATTGTATGATATTATGTGCTTTGTTTGTAATCTTTATGGTGTGAAATGATATATGTGATATGATGATGTGTGTGTATATATATATATATAGCTTGGTTAAGAAGAATATGTACAAGAACATATCACTAAAAGATAAAGAACGAATATAAGACTATTAAAGAGATAATAATAAACTTATTACATACGATTTATATGCTTTGTGTTATGAAATATGTGACCAGAATTATATGATGATATGTGTGTTTTCTTTGTGAAACAATATGTGTGTATGATATACAAAATGTAGTAAGTATAATTTTTGAAAACATTTTGATGTTTCGATATATCAAATTAAGTTTAAATGAATTTTAATATTTTACAAATAATTTTCTAAGAATATTTGATTTAATTAATCGAATATCAAATTATTACTCAAAGTCTTTCAAGATCATTTTCAAACCTTACTAAAAGTGTAAAATTGTGTTTTATACTTAAACTATTTTTGAAACAATTTTCACAAAGTATTTTGAACCAAAATCAAGCCAAAAATCAAATTTTCAAAGTGATGCACCGATGCACCAATCCATACATCGATGCACCATGAATTAAAATGAACATCGAATGCATTTTATGCATCGATGCACTCAGTGCATTTGATGCATCGATACACTCTAGCTATTTTGAAATATCAAATGCATTTTATGCATCGATGCACTCTTAGTGCACCGATGCACTAAGGGTCCAACTGTCAAAATATTTGAATTTTACACTGATGCACCATGGGTATGCATCGATGCACTGACGCTCCCAACTGCTTTAATTAATTGTTTTCACACTTAAACGGCTCTATTGACTCCACTAAGCATCCCCAACGTTCAGAATAATTTGAAGGAGTATTTAAACAAGTCTAGAAGCCATTGATCAACAACAAGAAAGAAGAAATTATAGAGAAACAAGAGAGAAAACATCAAACATCAAGTTTGTGCAATTCAATCCAAATTTCCTTTCAATATTCATTTTGCTTTCAAGAACACAATTTGTGCTCAATTGTATTTATCTTTGAGTGTTCTTATCTTGTTCTAGAATTGTGCAAACAATCTACCTTGTGAGGATTTCCTTGTAAGTTTGCAAATTTGTAATCTTCTCTTTGAGAAAGAGTGTTCTCAAGAATTGGGTATATTCTTGAGGGAGTTGTAAGGTTATCTCTTTAGCCTCAAAAGAAAGAACAAATTAGTGAATTTGTTGGAAAATTCTTAGTGTGGATAGCTAAGGTAGTGGACGTAGACTTTGGTTGAGAAAGTCGAATCACTCTAAATCGATGTGCAAATCTTTTCAATTTTCTGCAAAAACTTCCATCAAAATTTTAATTGTCAATTCACCCCCTCTTTGCCGATTCCATCAATCGATTAACTCAACAATAATATATATTAAACAAGAGTAATAATAATAGGTAAAATAAAATGGTATGTATATATATTCGTTTATGTTTGGATGCATTCTATTGATAAATATTTATTACACATAGGCAAAGTCGAAAGGGTGTCGATTGATAAATCTAATAATTTATCTCAACTTGTCTATAAATATTTTTTATCCATGTTAACCTTTAAATTTAATATTCTTTTTATTTAAGTTAAATTACGCATTTAATATCTAAACTATCAGTTTTAATCTATTTTATGCTTAAACTTTCAAATGTTTCAAAATTATGCATTACGTTTATATTGTTCAGATGAATATCCAATCCAGATTTCAGAATTATTCAGTAGACTGTGAAAGAGAAGCTACAAACCTTCCTGAAGTCATCATTGGACAATAAAGATCGATACAATCAACTTCCAGTCTTTTCGAGCTACCTTCACATGCAGCTCGAACATAAGCAGGGTCACCACGGATGGGCTAAACTCACGATATAATGCCCTCAAAATAAATAATTCACGAAATAACGTTATCCCAACATTATTTGCTGAAATAGGGCGAAATCAACAGTGTGGCCGTAGGTCGCCATGCCTTCCGGGCGACCTACGACGTGGCTTGCTCTGCATGGGACATGCACAACCCAACCATAGGTCGCCATGCACTCCCAGCGACCTCCTAGGTCGCCATGCACGCCCGGCGACCAAGGAGGTCGCCATGCACTCGGGGCGACCAAGGATTCATGCATGGGGAGATCGTGCCATGCACTCGGGGCTCGGTTCATGCATGGGGCACTCGAGGCGACCAAGGAACGGTTCATGCATGGGACACTCGGGGCCATGGAGTCCCGGCAAGGTCGCGAGCAGGCGAGCATGCAGCAGGGCATGGATGGGCGTGCATGGGCGTGCTCCTTTGGCGAGATGGGCGTGCATGGGCATGGAGGTCGTTGGCTGGTAGGTCGCAGGGCATGCATGGCGACCTACCCCCGGTACTGTAGAGGACACCACTTGAGCAATTAATCTGACGATCCCACTATTTCGTGAAAAAAAAAAATTTCAACGCACTATCAACGAGATTTTGCCCCACGGATGTCCGCTCCGCCATCATCGGTATAATATATACCGAACTTTGTAGCCAATTCAACCCTTTCTCGAACACCGTCTTTCAACGCCTTCCCGAGGAGAATTTCATTGGTATGAGGGCCGTAAACATCGTAGGTATGGAGAAGGGTAACCACAGCATCGATGGCGTGATGGATGAGCGCAATCATGTCGGATTCGGGCTTGGGGGAACCGTAGAGGCTGACGTCCCCATGCAACCGATGCCTTGAGCTGATACTTCGAGGCCCTGAGAACCCAACTTGATCCTCCCGAGTTTTGTGGTCGCCATGTTTGATGTTTCCACTGAATCTGCTGTAGAATTCAAGGAATTTGTGGTGATGGAGAAGGAAGGTTTCGGAACTTGCTGTTATATAGTGGGTGGGAAGTGAAGAAGGAGAGAGCGGCAAATATTAAAAAAAAAACTGCGAAAATTTGACAGCCATTACGTAGGAGCCTATGCTAGTAATAGGCTTTATGAAACTCTTTTTTTTCACTAAAAGGACTTGGGTAAACTATCCTATGAGTCACTAAATTATGAATTTTATCAATTAAATCACTAAATTATTAAAATTGAATAAAACATAAAATTAAAAAATAATTTGAAAAAATAATTTATTTTGAAAAATGGTGAATGAAATGAGCATGTAATTCAAATTTAATAAAAACAAATGAACTTAAAATGATGAAAGAATTTAAATTTTTAATCAAATAATTTAACTAAAGATCAAAATGACATCATTAGATTTACATCTTTTTTAGGTATTTGAATTTTATAAATTTAAAATCGGTTTCAACTACAATTTGAAAAAAAATAATTTAACTTAAATAATTTTAAATTAAAAAAATATATTTTTAAAAATTAATTTGAATTTTACTTACACTCACTACCAATATCAAATAATTATCTTAATAAATATCTCAAAATTTATATGTGAGAATTACTTTATAATAATAATGCAAAAGAAATGGGCAGTATATGCAATTAGCCGCCGGAAAATAAAATTAGCCGCCGGATTATAAAATGAAAAACGAGGGAAAAGGAAAACTATTTTTTTTTATAAAATTAAAATTAAAATTAAATTAAAATAAAACGCACACGTATAATCTCGAATGTCGATTTTAAGTGGGTTTTATAATAATTAATCTTACGAGATAATAAGTGAATTGTGAAGATTTTAATACCGATTTATCCTAAAAAATGATTAATATAGATAATGATCGACAATCAACGATAGTTAAAAAGTTTTATTATTATATACTCTTGTTTTAGTGTGACAAATAATGTCAGTGATCATTAGTCATATCATCGTCTTATTTTAATGTGACAAGTCACGTAAGTAATTGTTAATCATGTCATTGTTTGGTTAGTGATTTAACAATAAAATGACATAATTGAATATAAAATTAAAGTTTAATTATATAATTGATAGAATCAATTTTATTTATTTATTTATAAGAATGACATAATTGAATACAAAATTAAGATTTAATTATATGATTGATAGAATCAATTTTATTTATATATAAATAAATTAACAGACAAAGTTGAGCGGTATTTGATATAATTTACCCATAATTTTACTATGTTTAGTAGAAAAAAATAGGATTTTTTTTTCTTGAAAGCCTATGCCAACGAAAGATGTCTCTTGCATCTCCATATCTTCAAGCTTCCCTATTCTCTACCAATGCCTAGTCGAATTCCAATATAGTTTCTAATCAAATCTCATTCTTTTTTCAACAAATTACTATCTTTCTACTTTGAATTTTTCACCATGAAACATTCTTCCCTATTTACCATAGGAAAAAACCCTCCATTCATATCAAAATGCTGCTTCTGTTCTTCATCTTCTCCTCCTGCTTAAGGCCTGCTTTCCCATTTTCATTCCCTCATCATCTTCTTGAATGTTTGGGTTCCCTCTCAAAACCATTTCCCAAAATTTCCCATTTTTCCCTCATCTTCTGCTTCCATTGTTCTTGCTGTTTTAATCCTCTTAGGTCTTCAAAACCAATGGCAAACAAAAGCTTATAATTTTATGTACTTTTCAACCAAGTTTATCTTCCAGACTGCTTTGGGGACTATAATTTAAACTGGGTCCCTTCCCGTTTCGATTCCCATTGTGTTATATCCCGGTACATAAGCTTTCTGTTTGTTTCTGAACGTACGGTTCGTTTATCGGCATTTTCTTTGCAGCAAAAAAACATGGATTATGATGCTGATGATAGCTATGTCAATGGTGAAGCTAAAGCAGATTCCAAGCCCTTTTCAATAAGGTGGATTTTCCCATTTTCCAATGCCTTATTATCATTATTTCATGGTGTCCTTATTTTGCTTGCAGTTTAAACCTCGATTAATTTTATGAAAAATTTATTAGTTTCCTAGTTGCTGATGAACTCTGTTCTATCATCTATGATCCTTCTTTCCCATGCTTGTTTTCCAATGTTTTGGAGCAGTTTATTTTTCAACATGTTCATAGTGTTATTTTTAGGTTTGCGTACTTGGATTTGCTGCTTTCTTCATTGCTGTATAATTTTCAACAATGCATGATAGCTGATTCAGGGAACTCAATGAATGAACTACTACGAATTTCGGCTTTCGCAACCAGGCATTCGATTGCAAACCGCCACCGACTTCAGGTCTTGTCGGAAATGCCTGTGTTTGTAACAAGTAATCTTTTGTTTTCCCAGGCAGTTTGTTGCTGATACTAGGAGGAAAGATGTTATTCATTGTTGGCCATTTCCAAAGAGATACTTGCAAGTTTGTCTGAAATATGGTATCAGCGATGTGTTGCCACCCTTTGAGCCATGTACTAATCCGTCAGCTCGAGTGCTGAATGAGAACGTAGGCCGGACATGTTCCGATCACCAGCATGAAGATCAAGTTTCCTTTGAAAATAAGGTGATTTTGCAGGAGATTTTGATCAAAGATGAGTGGAATTGTAACTATGATGAGATTCTACCAAAAGGTCCCTGCCATGAAAGCAACTTAAGCTTTGATTACACTTCCAACGTCACGGTTCCGGTAAATCGAGAATCTAATTCTGTACAAGGCCCTCACTTTGATTCTCAGCAGAGAATCAAAAGGGTTTCCCCCAAGAAGCTAAGTCACAAGCAAAGAAAGCGTAAAGGGAGACTAAAGAAGAGGACAATGTCTGATATTTTAGCAAGATCAAAATCATGTACTTTGGATGATTGCTAATAAACCTCTCTAATGATGGTAATGATGAAGCCATTGATGACAATTCATCAAGGTACATTTTCTGCTATAATTTGAACCAAATATGGTTGTTCTAATTGCATTTTTAAAGCTTGCTGAAGTAACACATTCTGAATCTTATTGGTTGTAAGAACCTGCTGTGTTATTTCAGTTTCAGTGATCATCTATGTTACTTGGATTCAGGTCTGCAATTTCGGGCTATGAGTTTGGTTCGGCACTGGTATGTTCAATATATTCTCTGATTGTTTCCATTATCGAAGCATCCGGTCATATTCCCGCACCGATATACATATGTCCCCTCATATATATCGCCTTCTGATATCACCTTCTTGATCTTTGATCGATATGTGCATCGAAATGACGAATACTGAAATATTTTCACATGATTTGCGAGCTCCCATTGTGATAAATGGTGAAGGACACCTTATATCTCATCTGTTAGCTACGTTTACTTTAGTTTCTGAAGCCCTTTTTCCTGCTTCTCATCTCTGATACATGAACATGATTTTATGCTACACATGGTGATTATGTTATCCGGGCTTCATATACATACATACATACATACATGCATATTCGTGTTCAACACGTATCTAAACTTGAGCATCTGGAATATTGATGTTTTCCGGGTCGAATAAAGTTATGCATGCATTTTTCATTTCCTGTAGGCAGGTAAAACAACGGGATATATTGTTCCTCGGATCAGTTTGCAGGATTGGCAGCTTCAAGCTATTTAATAATTCTATATGTAAATTATATTACTCGGACTCGAATGTAAGTATGGGATCGACACATTCATGGTCCTTTTTTTCATGCTTTTGGAGGTCGAATTCATGTATTGGACGTGGATAATTCAAGAACAATGAAGAGTGTAAGCTCATGCAGTTTACATGAAGTTCTTTATCATATTTGGTAATAAAAATAATATTTACACAATTATTTTAATAAAAATATATAAAAAAAACAAGTATGACAAGGTATATTTTATTTATATAAAGAGTGAACCTAAATTCGATCGTTTAAACTATTATTTAATGAGAATTTAAATTTCAAACATAAATCATAAAATGAACATTTTTCTGAAGGAAAAAAAAAAACTATGAAAGTTCTAATAATATCTGCACAAAGAAGCATGCACAACATGTCGTCTAGCTTGACGGATATTAAGCCTGTCGCACGGTAGAACTTTCCGCGTGGAAATCATCAAATGAAACGCCGACAAAGAAAACTCGAGGTCGAAACGACTAAAAATCTTTTCATAATTATCTCTACTACAGTACCCCTACCACTGTTTCTTCTTTCATCTTTCTGAAATATAAATGAAAATTAAAAAAGGAAGAAGAAAAATCCAAAATGCACGCTCAATTTCATGTAACAACTCCGTTCTCTCCTTTCCTTCTACTGAACTCTATTTTTCATTTTCTTTTTAAGCTTTGTTTGTAGTAGGAAAAAAATGAAAATATAGATATTCGAATGAGATATTCCTTTATTTTGTTTGTGGTTTTAAGGATTTTGGGTTCTTTTTCTTTTGTTCAGATTCAAATTTTATTATTTCATCATATTTCTGGTTTTTTTATCCTTAAGTTGTTTGTTTGAATATAAGTTTTCTTTTTCTGTGAATTATAGGAATATCATTTTGTTTAGTATGAAAATTGGGAATACCCTTTTACTCCAATCTTCTCTGAATTTCAAAATAATTTTTATTCTATAACATTTTTTTTGTAACAATTAGATATTTTGCAGTTGAATGCATGTAGCATGTCATACCAGCAAGCAGAGGGTTTTCATTACATGGCTGATGATTTTGTCGATGACATGGATGAAGACAACTATGGCAGTGCTGGTGGAGACATGGATGCTGATGAATATGACATGGTTTGCTTTACCTTTTGTTTTTATATATATATATATATATGTTGTGTAACTGGAATATGATGTTCATCACTTCAAACTATATACTTTGAGCAGCTGCCCGATACATCTTCCGCACAAGCACGCAAGGGGAAAGACATACAGGGGATTCCGTGGGAACGATTGAGCATAACTAGGGAAAAGTATAGACCGACAAGGCTTGAACAGTATAAGAATTACGAGAATATCCCGTCCTCGGGTAAAGCTGTCGACAAGGTTTGTTTCGGCTCCTATCATCTCTAAATGAACTAGTTTTCTGTAAAGAGAATATCTTGTTAAGCTCTTTGGTAATCGGCATTGTTTCAGGAATGCAAGCAGATAGAAAAGGGTGGGAACTACTATGAATTCTTCCACAACACTAGACCGGTTAAGCCTACAATCCTCCATTTTCAGGTTCGTAAGTCGGAAAGTGTTCTGTTTTAATTTTTGTTATTATCATCGATATTTGCTTTTAGAAGATCTCGGATTTGGAATCAAACAAATTTTTTTCTTGATTTTCACTTTTCCTCTTAGATGATCATACAACTTCAATGTGTTAATTATTTAAAGGCTATGCTAGATTCTTCTTTGGTATTGATTAAGTTATTAAGTAGTCATTTTTCGTGTATGGGGTCGATTAGCGATGTTAACACTTTTGAACCTTCACCTCCATGTGTGCGTGTTTGTTTCATAAACTTCTAGGTCTCTCCTCCGCACATTCGCGTTGTCATTGTACACTATAAGAGTTTTATTGAAAGTGCACTTTGTCCTGCATTTGTTTTAAAGGTTTAATACGTATAGCGATTATTGTAATGCAGTTGACGGAGAGAATCATAAAGAATTATTGTTATAGCATCACATGCATGCATGCATTGGTTTGTCCGTACATATTTCGGCAAAAGCCTAAAAGGATTCCTGTAGCCAACAGCTACTACCTCGAGATTCAAAGCTTAGCATGTGTCGGTTTTGAATATTGTTCCCTCCAAATGATGATTATATCTAAATTTGACCTTTTCTGATCGAGGGATAAGTTTAAATTTGCTAATGTTGACCGCTTTAGTTGTTGGTATCGATTCTTAATTTTCGGAACTTATCCTACGTTAGTATGCTGCTAATAGGTTTAAAGTATGTTTCAACTTTCCATCAGGCCGAATGCGTCCCGAGCGTTGTGATGGATCTAGTATTGCGTTGGGATTATTTTCATTTTATCATCTACTCTAAAGATCCAGTCAGTAATTGAACCCTGATGATATATTTTTGGTTTCAAGTTTGAAGAAGCATTTATGTGCACCTATATAGCTGTTATCTAAGCTTAAATAACCTATTGCGGAACGGTTTTGCAGCTCGGGAACTTGGTTCGGGCTACTTCGAAGCATGACGTTTAAGTTATGTCCAGTTATTCAGTTGTGCATTGGTCATCCTTATGATCCAATCTGTCCGAGGTCCTTAATTTTTCCGGGCATGTAGCTCCTACCGAGGTATTATAGCTATACAGCACGAGTAATTTTGAGGATAGCAAATGTTTTAGTTATTCTGTGCTTACTTTTATCGGCCAACTTTTATTCCATTGTAACTAGAAACGTTCAGAAGGTTTCACGAAAACTCAGATAAGCGTGCTAGCAGTCGAGGATAATTTTATGGTTGCAGGAGGCTTCCATGGGGAGCTTATTTTTAAGGTAAGTTAAATTTGCAGCCATGTTTCCAGATAAGTCGATTTCTTTTATTTATTTTATCGATATCTTATTGATTCCACATTCCTGTTGTTGCAGCACTTGGACAGAAAAGGTGTAATCTTCTGTACTCGGACAACGTATGACGATAATGCAATTACGAATGTCATCGAGATATATGACAGCTTGAGGTAGCTTGACAATTGTGAATTTGGCTGGTTCGATTGATCACTATAAATCGAATGAAATTGGATTGAAGTTTTGAACCTGTTTTGCAGGGGTGGCATTAATTTTATGGCATCCAATAAAGACTGTAGCTTGAGAGAATATGATACCGAAAGATTTCAACTTTTGAATCATTTTCGACTCCCGTGGCCCGTAAATGTAAGCCGTTCTAGTTGTTCCATTCTTAACCCCTCTATCGTAATCATACGTATATTAAAGAGAGCCAATGGCTAGGAGTCATTTTATGGTCATCCAAAGTTGATGGAGACAATGGTGATTTCGATTTACGGGATCTGCACTTCAAATGCAAAAAGATTGTTGCTTCGAGACCGGAAAAGAAAATCGAAAATCACGTAGATGATAGTATTTATTCATGCATTCAGCTTGATTTCTAATAATTAAAACATGTTTATTCTGATGCAGCATACGTCGGTCAGCCCCGATCGCAGGCTTATTACTGTTGTTGTTGATCACTTGGATGGATTGCTTGTGGATTCGCAAAACGGAAAGGTATGAAACCATCAATCACTTTTCATCTGCAATTTTATTCCATTTCTGACTTCGATAAGAAACGAAAAGGTTCGCTCATTCGCTTGTTCCGAGCTTTAAACGTTATGAATGTGAAAGAATCATATGTAGTACTAGTACTACAGCTAGCGATACCAAATTCTATTTTCCGTTGTCTCAGACCATAGCCACAGTGGTAGGCCATCGAGATTACTCCTTTGCATCAGCATGGCACCCAGATGGACTCATATTCGCCACGGGAAACCATGACCAGACCTGCCGTGTATGGGACATAAGAAACCTCGCATTGCCAGTCGCCACCCTCAAAGGAAACTTGGGTGCGGTACGATCGATCTGGTTTTCATCCGATGGCCAGTTCATGGTAGTTGCAGAACCAGCAGATTTTTGTTCACGTGTATAATACGAAATCCCATTTCACGACACGACAAGAGATCGACTTCTTCGGTGAAATCTCGGGTGTATCGCTTAGTCCAGACGACGAATCCCTGTATATAGGAATATGGGATAGGACTTATGCTAGTTTAGTGCAAAATAACAAAAGACATACTTACGGATACTTAGATTCCTACTTGTAAATGTCTTGATAATTGTAACTCTTTAAATAAGAGTTTGCCGTTGACAGTACTATATTATTCTTGAAATGAATAATAGGTTTTTACCATTATTTTTTCGGGTTTAT